AGGGGAGGAAAGAGAAGAGAAGAGAAGACACATGAGAGAAGGGGAGGGGGGAGGGGAGGGGGGGAAGGGAAGGAAGGTGAAGGGAGGGGAGGGGAGGAGAGAGGGAAGAGGAGGGAAGGGGAGGAAGGAGTGGAGACCCAAGGGGAGAGGAGGAAGATTAACCCTAATATCGACGTTCTGGACCACAAGACAGAAGTGAGAATCTCAGGGCCTGAGATGATGATTGCGGTCAGGAGATGTGAGTGAGACCTTGCAGTCCCTAGTTCTGATCCTCTTCCTCTGTCTATTCAAAGACCGGGGGCCCTTGGTAAAGGAATATTTGGAATCTGGAATGCCGAAGACAGCCATTTCCTGCCTTGGGGGTGGTTTAGACCCAAGGAGTGACTCATTCTAGCTCTCGGCTGGCTGTCTAGATCTTCAGTTCTGGTAGTTTTTGCGTCATAGCCCCAAGGTGCCCTTGGATAGAACAGATAAAATGTGAGACCATACAGAGCCAGTGAAATCTCTGGGCTGCCCCTGACAGGAGGAAATGGCAGTGCACCTATCACCCAAAGATCCAGATAAATGTTGCTAATTCGGAATAACTTAGGTGGGGGGTGATGAGGTCAGATTCCGTGGCAATTATAAATCGGAGAATATGTAGAAGGAAATGCTGGGTAGGTTCAAGAAATGCCGACATGTACAGCATTCACGGCTAGTAAAATGGCAAATTTTAGAATCTTTTTGGAAAGCATTCTGGAGTTAAACAGGGAAAGTGACAAAAAGCCTGCATTCTGACCATGTATTCCATTATCGGAAATATCATTTGAAGTTGTTAAAAAGCAAATGAGGGGCAGCCAGGTGGCACAGTGGATAGAGCACCGGCCCTGGAGTCAGGAGGACCTGAGTTCAAATTTGACCTCAGACACATAACTCTTACTACCTGTGTGACTCTGGGCAAGTCACTTAACCCCAATTGCCTCACTTAAAAAAAAAAAGCAAATGAGCAAAGGAAGCTAGCTCCCTGCTCAGAGATTTCCATGGGTGCATTGGTCTGGAATGTGATCTAGACAGCCAACACTAGGGGAATGGTTAAACACATGACTATAACGGAATGCTCTGATGCCATTAAGACTGCAAAGCGCAAGGAAGATAAGGAAATTTAGAAAGATGTTTGTTCATTAATAAATCACCTTTAATTAATGCAAATTGAGAAAAGCAGAATCATAAGACTAAGGAACTCAGAAACATCCATCCATATAGTAATAAAAGTGCTTGGAAATGAATGGACAAAGAATCCTGATGGAGACATGGCGGGGGGGGGCAGTGGGTAGAGACTGAAAAGTTGTATATTCAATGGCAGTCAATGACAGAGCTTTTATGGCGCCCCTTCTGTATGCCAGGCACTGTGCTGGGTACCGGAGATTCAAAAACAGAAGTGAAACAATCTGTGACCCCAAGGAGCTTACATGTTTTCTTCTCTATTCATCCCTCCCTTGAGTGCTTTCTCTCCACTTATCCCTCCTCCCTGTTCCTTTGCCCCGCCCACCCCTCCTTTCTGTCTCTGCTCTCTGTGCTTCCTCCCCATCCATCCCTCCTTTCTGTCTCTGCTGTCTTTCCTGTCCATCCCTCCCTTCCTCCCTCCTTCTTCCCTATCCTTCCTCTCCTATCCACCTCTTTCTCTCTTTTCCATCCATCTCCCCTCTCTGTCTCTGCTCTGTCTTTCACCTCTGACCTTCCTCTCCATTTATCGGTTCTTTGTCTTCTCCCTCTTCTCCGTCCTTTCTCTCCATCGACTTCTCCTCTGCTCCCAGTCCCTCTTCCCAGATCTTCCCCTTCCTCTGATTCTTGGCTCCATCCCTGCTCCTGGTCTCATCCTCACTTGCCCTTCCCTTCATGCCTGCTTGTCACATTCTTCCATGTGTTTTTCAGGGATGAAGGACGACAAAGTTTTGCGGTTGCCCGGGCCTTTTCTAGTAAGTACACAGAGGAAGGAGCCTGGCTGGTTGCAGGAGGTTGGGGGTGGTAGGTATCTTGGGGTGTAGGGTTGTGGGGGAGGGAGAAGGGGGACGGCAGTTGAAGGAAGGGGAGAGCCAGCTAGAACCTGGGTGCCATGACTCATCTCATCTCATTTGGTGAAACCACTGGGGTCACCACAGGAGGGAGAAGCTAGAGATGGCCCCATCTTTCTGGTGTGGCTTTGGCCTAGGATCCAGAGAGGCAACACGGACAAAGAGCCCTGGGTTTACATTTCGCCTTAGACACTCAATGGCTGCGATATTCTGCGGGTCAGTCTTCCCCTTATGTAAGATGGGCGTGATGATACAATGGACTTCCTAGAGTAGTCATAAGAAATTTGGTTTGTAGCACAAATTGTTATTCTGGGCTGACATCTTTGTGGTTTGCAGGGAGGGGCTGGTCAGAGAACGACAAATTCAGCAGAGCAGCATGGCTGAATGGACCGGGGCTGCCATCCGGTCTTTTGAGAAGGGCCTGGGCTGAGGTCGACGGGGGGCTGCCCCATGACTCGCTAACTAATCTCGGCCTCTCTTGTTCCATCTTTCAAAACAGTAGCAGGCATGGGCCCAGAGCCGGCTGAATATTCCACCATTCAATGCCCTGACACGAGGTAGGACAGAGGTAGCCTGAGGCTTCCTGCACCTTTAATATCCCTCTTTAAAAAAATGTGAAGTCCGCTGCCCTGGCTTCGACGTCCACTCCTTGGAGCCTTCCTTGGTCCCCCAGCCAGGAGTGGCCTCTCCCTCCTCTGGCTGCCTAGAGTACTTGGTGTATCCCCCTCCCTCCGCCTCGTATTAATTACAGTTAATGTGTAATTGTCTTCGATGAAAGGAACATGAGATCAAAGGATCAGAGACATAAAGTTGGAATGGACCTCAGAAGCCATCTAGTCCAGTTTGCTCACTGTACAAAGGGGGAAACTGAGGCCCATAAAGGTTAAATGACTTGCCCAAAGTCAGGAGTAAGTGGGAGAGGCAGGATTTGAACCCGGGTCCTCTGACTCCAAATCTAAATAAGATCATGGACATTCAGAGCTTTGCATACCTTAAAGGGCTATATAAATATCATTAGTTACTATTTATTGTTAGCGCTCTCCTACTCCTAGATCTTTCCCAATCCACCCTACTAGCACCTAGCATAGTATCTTGCATTTAGTAAGAGCTTAGGAAATGTTTATTGACTGAATAATTAACGGTCTCCATCGATTATTAATTCTATGAATGGAATTTGAGAATGAATGAATTCAGGAATGAAGGAATTGTCCCAGCGCCTCTTAGCCAGTCCTTGACCCTGAATCATAGAGCTAGAATGCACCTCAGAGGGCATCTAGACCAGCCCCCCATGTTACAGAGAAGGAAAATGAGGCTCGGAGAGGCTCAGACTTGCCCAAGGTCACACAGTAAGTAAGTAGATTTTGTCTCTAAGCAAAGGCATGACTCAGTGAACAGGACCACGTCTCCTCTTTCCATCACTCTGTGGGCCATGTACCCATTAACCCCCCTGTGTCGTTGCCTTTAAAAACATTCTCAGAGTTTAGAGCCGGTGTGCCTCCTTTGGACCCACCCCATGCTTCTTTGGGCCCCTCCTCCACGCCCCACGGTGTCTATCTGGGGCCTTCCTCTTTGTCTGCCACTCAAACACCTTGACTCTGCAGAGGTGTGAGCTGGGATGTCCTTGTTTGCAGGAAGGACAAATGGCTGTACTCCATGGCTGGAGCAGAAGGTAAGTGTGTGACTTCCCTTCCCTTCCCCAGACCTCCAACGTGCCTAGGGCCAGCCCAAAGGATGGGCAGTCCAGGGTCATTCCCAGAGGGTGGGAGGCCTGGAGAGGCCAGAGGGGAGTGGATTGGCCAGAGCCACCTTGGGAGAGCAGGGGCCTGTGTCGGGAATTCAGAGCCTGGATCCCACCAAGAAGTACTCCTTAGTAAAGATGGGGGTCAGAACCTACAGGTGTGGCTGTGGGCAAATCACTTAACCAACCTGGGCCTCAGTTTCCTCATCTGTAAAATGAGAGTTGGACTAGATTAGCCTTGAAGGCCCCTTTCAACTCTGACTCTATGATCCTGTGGACTAGCTGTTAGCACAGTGCCTGGCACATAGTAATTGCCTATAAATTCTTATTGACTGACTGCCTTCTCTGGGCCTCAGTTTTGCCATCTGTAAAATGAAAGGTTTGGATGAGATAGCATCTAACATCCCTTCCAATTCTAATCTAGATGATGCTGTGGAGCACCTCAGTTTCTTTCTTTCTTTCTTTCTTTCTTTCTTTCTTTCTTTCTTTCATTCTTTCTTTCTTCAATCAGGGTTAAGTGACTTGTCCAGGGTCACACAGCTCGTGTCAGAAGACAGATTTGAACTCAGGTCTTCCTGATTCAGGGGCCAGTGCTCTATCCACTGTGCCACCTAGCTGCCCCCCCCAGTTTCTTTTCTTTTCTTTTCTTTTCTTTTGGTTTGTTTTTTTATAGGCAATTGGGGTTGAATGACTTGCCCAGGGTCACACAGCTAGTAAGTGTCAGGCGTTTGGTCTGAGGCCGGATTTGAACTCAGGTCCTCCTGACTTCAGAACCAGTGCTCTATCCACTGTGCCACCTAGCTTCCCTCCCCCTCAGTTTCTTCATCTGTAAAATGAAAAAGTTGGCCACTAAGTTGGACCTTAGATAGCCTCTAAGTTCCCTTGCAGTTCTAAATCTTGTAATAATAATACTAGAGGGCTAGACAGGTTGACAGACAGACGGACAGACAGACAGACAAGTAGGTAGGTCGAGCATTTATTAAGCCCTACCTTGCACCAGGTGCCAGGCATCACCTTCCTGATGTCATGGTCCTCTTGGAGAAGGAAGGACAAACAACAAAAACCACCAGGTGCCAGGTGCAACCAGCTGGTCCTTGCCCTCGGAGAACTTCTATTCAAATGAAGAGACAGTTTAGGAAGAAAGCAGCTGGAATGTGGGTGGGGGCTCCAGATAGAGTTAGAAGATTAGGAACTAAGGTGGAGACCAGGGTCTGGGCCAGATAAAGTGAAAGCTTATCTCTTAGAGCCCAAGGGATTCCAGGGAATAAAGTCCCTGTGGTCTGTAAGGAGAAGGTGGGGGTCATGGCCTGAAAGCCAGACAGGCATGATTTGGAGGTGTCTGAGAAGTGTAAAAATTGGTTAGGAATGAGGAAGAACTGCACTGGGGTCCTTCCTTAGGGTCACTAGCTGTATGACCCTGGAAGTCACTTAACCTCTGTCTGCCTTCAAAATGGGGATACTAATAACACCACCTACCTCCCCTGGTTGCTATACAAATCAAATCAAATGAGATAATACAATATGAGATAAAGCACTTTGAAAACCTTAAAACTTAATCGTATTATCCCTGGAGAGTAGGAATTGATGATGGATCTAGGGCTCTGAGTTGATTCCATTTGAACTGGGCTGAAGGAACCAGGATTATTTAGAAGAAAGAAGAGAAGTATTAATGGGAAAGCAATGTCTGTGCTTAAGTATTTGAAGAGAAGTCTTGGGAATAGAGCGATTAGACTTTTTCCATTAGGCCCCAGGGGAAGAACAAGGTTTGTTGTCTTGAAAATCTCCCTAACTATGAGATCTCTGCTAAAGGGGCTGAGCTGCCTCTGGAGGGGGTGGATGACCCCGCCTTGTGGAGTAGAGATTGAAGAGGGGTTTCTTGTGCAGGGTGAACCTGCTGGCCTCTGAGATTCTCTGGGCTGGGGCTTGATAGCAACCTGAGGTCTTGCTCAGACTAGGAAAGGTATACCCTCCTCCCTCCATCTCAGAGACCTGATCCAAGCACAACCCAGGGTCCTCCCATGGGGGATTTCGTCAGGGTGTCGCCTCCACCCCAGAGATGGCTATGCTCAGCTCATTCTATTTCTTCTCCATCTACCAGCTAGAGAAGATTGTCATTTTTATTATATTGGCTTGGCCTACTTACGAGCAATATTTATTTCTCCAATTATTTAGATCTATCTTTATGTGAAGAGTGTTTTATAATTGTGTTCACATAGTTCCTATGAGTGTGTGTTAGCAGGTAGACTACTAAGTATTTTTTTTTTTTACTGTCTATAGTTATTTTAAATGGAATTTCTCTTTTTATCTCTTCCTGTTGGGTTTTGTTGATAGTACAGAGAGATACTGATGATTTATGTGAATTTATTTTATATCCTGCAACTTTGATGAGGTAGTTAATGATTTCAACTACATTTTTAGTTGACTGTCTAGGGGTCTCTAAATAAATTATCTGCAAAAGGTGATAATTTTGTTTCCTCATTGATTACGATTATTCCTTCCATTTCTTTTTCTTTCTTACTGTTATAGCTAGCATTTCCAGTACAATATTAAATGATAATGGTGGCCATCAACACCCTTGCTTCACCCCTGATCTCATTAGAAAGGCTTCTAGCTTATCCCCATTACAGATAAGTGCTGACGTTGGTTTTAGATAGAAATTACCTATCATTTTAAGGAAAGCTCTTTTTATTCCTTTGCCTTCTAGTATTTTTTTCTAAAACAGTATTGAGGGTTTTATATTTTGTCAAAAGCTTTTTCTGCACTTATTAAAGTCATCATATGATTTTTATTAGTTTTGTTATTAATATAGCAAATTATGCTTATAGTTTTTCTAATATTGAACCAGCACTGAATTCCTGCCTGGTCACAGTGTATGGTCTTTGTGATATATTGCTGTAATCTCCTTGCTGGTATTTGTTTAAGACTTTTGCTTCAATATTCACTACAGCAACTGGTTTATAGTTTTCTTTGTTTTTTGTTTTTGTTTTTATTTTTGGTGAGGCAACTGGGGTTAAGTGATTTGCCCAGGGTCACATAGCTAGTATGTGTTCAGTGTCTTAGGCCGCATTTGAACTCAGGTCCTCCTGACTCCAAGGCCAGAGCTCTATCCACTGCGCCGCCTAGCTGCCCCGGATTATAGTTTTCTTCTTCTGCTTTGACTCTCCCTGGTTTAAGTATCAAAGTCATATTTGTGTCGTAAAAGGAATTTGGTAGGACACCTTCTTTACCTAGTTTTTTTTCAAACTACATTTTTACGTAGTATTGGAATGAATTGTTCTTTAAATGTTTGGTAGAATTCACTTGTAAATCTGTCTGTTCCTGGGTTTGGTTTTGTTTGGTTTGCTTTTTCCTTAGGAGAGTTCATTCATTCTGCCAACTAGAGAGGCATCATGGTACAGCGGAAAGATCCCTAGGTCAGGAGTTAGAGGGTCTGAGTTCAGATCCCGATTCTGCTACCTATTTCCTGTCCGACCTTGGACAATCACTTCACACACCCCTCCCCCGACCTCGATTTCCCCCTTTAAAAATGAGGGGGTTGTACTAGACGGCTTCTGATGTCCTTTCTGCTCTACAGCTATAATGGTATGATAACGACCTACATGTGATTGATGGGCACCTACTGGAAAGCCCCGCTGCCCCCATCACATTGTCCCACTGCGGCTTGGAACTGGAGGCTTGGGAAGAGCCTTGGAGAGCATGCAGTCCTGTTAGCTCCGAGGGCCAGGGAGGGGTCACTCACCCAGGTCACAAGCTGAGTAACCAAAGAGCATCGGAGCTTAGAAGAGGGCTCTCTTGACTCATAGGAGGTCACCATTCTTTCTAAAACCACATCTCTTCGTTTCTTTGACGTTCCTTGCCCGGCCCTCCAACTTCCAGACTTCCAGGGGCCGAGGGAATGCCGGAATGAATGGTGGAATCAGGTTCAGCATCTGACAGGGGGGGGAGAGTTTGGGGGGGGGGGGGGGGTGAGTTGAGAAGAGGCACCTTTCTAAGAGCATTGAATCACGTATGTAGGTGGCATGTTGTTAATGGGATGCAGGTCTTCTACTCAACATTTCTCTTCTCTGTGACCCTGACACCCTTCCGAGATCCTGAAACTCTAGCGTGGGTGGGGGTCCTGCAGTGGGCACAGCTAGAGTGGAGATTGTCTCTTCTGCCACAAATAAGGGTGGGAAGTGAGGGAGAGAAAACCAGACTGTAACGAGACAGGGGCTCCCCAAGACTCCTGCTCACCAGCACCAATCTGGCTGCTCCCCTGAGCCTTCTGTGGGGAATGAAGGGAGAGAGAGGCACTCTGGATAGAAATAATAGCTAACATTTATAGAGTGCCTACTGTGTGCTAAGTTCTTTACAAATATCATCTCATTTGATCTTCATGACAACCCTGGAAGGTAAGTGCTATTATGAGTGTCTACATTTTACAGATGAGGAAACTGAGGCAGACAGAGATTATGTGACTTGCCAAGGGTTAAACAGGTAGTAGTGTCTGAGGTGGCATTTGAATTCAAGTCTTCCTGACTCCAGGCCCTTAGTTCTAACTGCTGTGTCATCTAGTTACCTCAGACTGGACTGAGGCTCCCTGAGGACCCCCATAAGGAAGTCAAAGCTAGGACCCAGCTTGGTTAGGACCCAAACTTTCCAGCCCAGAGACTTTTGCACAGGGACAAAGACACCTCTCTGCCCAGCTTGTATTCCCAACTTTCTGCCCCTCTCCCAATTCCCCTCTCCCCCATTTCCTCCTCAGGACAGATAGTCTGCTGGGTCCTTTGTGGAAACATCTGTCTCATATTAAAGGTCATGAGTTAGTGATGAATTTTTGCTGGTTCCACTGTGAATACTGACATGTGTCTCTTCCTCAAACTACCCCACCCCCCACTCCTCCCACCAGACGTTGCTATTTTTTTGCAAAACTGTGAAGCTTTGAAGACCCCAGCCTCTCTCACTTTCCTGTCCTTTTCCTCCCCCGGTGGCTGACTGCCCCCTTCCCCCAACACTCCCTTTTAAAAGTAGGGTTCCTGAACCTTTTTTGGAACTCTTCGGTCTATTAATGTCTTCCCAGAATGTTTTTAAACTCCCAAAACAAAATACACAAGATTAAAAAGAAACAAATTATACTAAAATACAGTTATCAAAATACATATATTTTAAAACAAGTTTATGGACCCTTAGATTAAGAATTCCTGTTTTTAAGAATTGTAGACATTCAGAATTAGAAGGGACCTCAGAGGTTACAGGATCATAGATTTAGAGATGGAAGGGACCTCAGAAGTCATTTACTCCAACCTCTTAATTTTACAGATGAGGAAACTGAGGCACAGAGAGGTTAGGTGATCACACAGGTAGTGTAATCAGAAGCAGGATTTGAACCCAGTTCCTCTGACTCTAAAGCTAGGGTTCTTTCTCCTGGACTAAGAAGTCCTCCAAGCTCATCTTGTCTAACTCCCCACCCCCCACATCAAACTGTGCTCTGGAGAAAGGCTCTGATATCCACCCCTTCTATAGACCTCAATGCCAGTGAGGCTCCCTCTCTCAGGAGAGCTGGAATTCCAAGGATAAGCCCTCCCTGGTGATGAGAAAGCTTTGTCCCCATCAGGGGGGATGTCAGGCAACAGGTGGGAGGAGAGATCTGGGGAGGCAGGGAGATCCTTACTGCGTCCCTGAAATCACCAGCAGCTGTCAGCCCAGAAGGGAAGCCAGGGAAGCTGAGCAGTGCAGGCAAGAGGGAGGAGGACCCCAGCCTTTGGCTGCTCTGAGATTGATGGGGCTCTGACTCAGCTGCCCTCTCCAAGTGTGGCTGAGGTCGGCCCTGCCTGGGGGTCTGGCTCATGCTTTTCCCACAAATTATGCCTGAAGATGGTGGCCCTGCTCTTCCAGCTCAGAATGAATTGGCCAAGGTCCCCTAAGCAATCCCCCTCAGGAGGCCAGGGCCTGGGACCTCCCACAGCCACCCAAGGAGTCTGGAATGTCCACAAGCCTGGCACCAGGCAGCATCGGACCCCACATCGATACCTTCCGGTTTCTTTCAGATCCTGACACCCCCAGGTATCAGAACCTCAGGAAAGGTAAGTCAGCCTGCCAAAAAGTCTGCTCTAGGAAGGACGCCCCTTCCTTTGTGGTCTAACACAAACAGCACTGATTCAGAGTCAGGGAGTTGGGTTCAAATCCTGACTGTGCTGACTACTCACACCTGGGCCTCAGTTTCCTCAACTGTAAAATGAGTGGGTTGATCTAGACGACGTTCCAGCTCTAAATACAGGACCTTGTTGTCTTTTACCTACTCCCATCCCAAACTCTTGATCTGCACCTTTCCAGATGAAGCAGCTGTGCCATGATGGACACATCACATCACTACTTGGAACCTCAATTTCCTCAGCTATTAAACTGATGCTACACAAGGTTGTTCACAGGCCAATAGGAACATAGACCTGGGGCCAGAATGGGGTCTCAGGAGCCCTCTGGTCCAAACCCCCCATTCTGCAGATGAGGAAACTGAGGCCCACAGACAGGAAGTGACTCACCCAAGGCCACACAAGTAGTACGTATAAGAGCTAGGATTCCAACCTGGATCTCAATGGAAAGGTGCGAAGGACCTGCGAGGTCGTCTACTCCAGCCTCCTCATTTTCCAGATAAGAAACCGAGGCCCAGAGACTAAGGGACTTGCCTAAGATCATACACTATCTTCTTTTTAGAAAACTTTAATCATATGATGTTTCCAATTAATGAGCATTTGGCCTTCTTCACGGAACAACAATAAAGAACAATAAAACCCTCATAACAAATAGATTAGAGCTATTAGATTGTAAGCTCCTTGAGGACAGGGACTTAACTTTGGTCCCTTTTTGGAGCTCCAGCCCTTAATACAGTGCCTGGCACATAGTAGGTGTTTAATAAATGTTTATCAGTTGAAAAACATATGTGTAGTTAATCTAAGTAAGTCCCATAGGAGGTCTACATATGTAAGACCTTATCTTCTTAACTAGGTCCTTTAGTCTCCTCTGGTCAAATGAATGACACATGGTGTAGACAGCTTCCTGGGCCTGGAGTTGGTTCAAATCCAGCTGCAGACACTCGTCAGCTGTGTGACTCTGGGTTTCCGTTTGCTCATCCATCTGATTGTTAATGGGAACCACACCGGTGGGGGCTCATGAACCGTATTCAGAAGTCGCCACCCACAGGTTACCTGAGGACCTAAGGGAAGCAGCCACCCTTAGGAGTGGTCTAGCTGGCTGCTGAGGATCCTTCTAGCATCAGATATAGGATCTGGGATCACTGGTTACTGGAGAGCAGAGACGTATTCCTCCAGCCCTTTTACCTTTCACGGGGAGACCAGTCTTGACTCCAGAGTCAGTGCATTTCTGAAACACTGTCTCCCCGAGCTGGGGACCTGTAGGAGCTCAGAGTCATAGAATGTTGAGATTGGTTGACTCAGTTGAGGGTAGTAGATCTGGCATTTTGGAGTGGAGACTAGCTTAGGATCAGGAATGAGCGTGACACGTTAGGACCTGGCTGGCGGGAGCAAAGATGGGTTTATGAAGGGATGGAAAAGTCAGGTCGGGGCTACATTGCAGAGGGCCTTGAATGCCAAGTAGGGGAACTTGAAAGAAAGTGTGGTATAGAGGACTTGGAGTCAGAAAGACCTGAGTTCAAATTTTCTCCCAGTCAGTCAATGAATATGTGCCAGGCACTGTGCTAATCATTGAGGATATAGAAAGAGGTAAAACAGAGTCCCAGCCCTAAGAGCTCACAATCTGACTCTTAACTGGCAGTGAGACCGCAGGCAAGTTCTTAACCTGTCTGGGCCTCAGTTTCCCTATCTATAACATGGAGAAAGGAGGAGGAGTTGGCTAGATTCCCTAGACCACAGAGAGACACGGTTTTTTTGAGCAGGGGAATGGTATGATTAAGAAGAGGATTTTATCAAGCTAAATGCTATGTAATTACAATGTCTAAGCTTGTGTCTGAAAGAAAGGATAAGAAAATTCACCTCTCCCTTCTTTGTGGAGGTGGGGAACTATGGGCATATAAATGTACTGTCGGATTGTGTCAGTGTAGTTTTACTGAACTGCAGCTAGGTGGTGATAGAGCGCTACCTGGAGTCAGGAAGACCTAAGTTCAAATCCAACCCCAGACACTTACTAATTGGGTGACCATGGGCAAGTCTGTTTGCCTCAGTTTCCTTATCTGTAAAATGAGGATAATAATAGCATCTAACTCTCAGCATTATGGTGAGGATCAAATGAGATAATATTTGTAAAGTACTTTGCAAACTTAAAGCGATGTATAAATGCTAGCTATTATTATTTTAAAACTCTTTGCGAAGGCATGACTGGGGAGGGGAGAGGAAAGGATCTATTTAGAAACAAAGGTAATGAAAAATGTAGGTTAGGAATCGGGACGAGGCTTGTGATTTCAACGGTGCAAGGAACTCCCAGGTGAGGAAACTTCTCCTTTGGCAGGTCGGCACCCCCTCTGAAACTTATTGTGTGTGTGTGGGGGGGGGGGGGTGCTGAGAACCCTGATAGGCTCGTCCAGGGTTACAGAGCCAACGTGTCAGAGACAGGGCTTGAACTCAGCTCTTCCTGGCTCTGCAGCTGGCTCTCTATCTGCTACAGAAATGGAGGAAATCAATAAATATTAGAAGGGGGGATTTGGGAGAGACCAATCCTAATTTTCTAATCAAATCCTTGTCCTTGCAGGAAGCAGAAGAGAATCCGAACCAGCCTACGTGTAAGTTGGTTTTTCCTTGTCACGGTACCTCCTTTATGTTGGCTTTCTCTCTCAAAATATACAGGGGTAGAAAAATGGGGGTTGGGAATAGAGGGTTCCTTCTCAGAGAAACAGGTGGGGAAGTCTGTCTGATGGAAACAACCCAGCTCTAAACTTTCTCTGAATTATGGAGAAAAAGAAAGAGGTCTGAAGGTGCCTCCACTTACAATAACAAGCAGTTTGTATTTATGCGGTACCTAAGGTTTACAAAGTACTTTTTTCATGGCTACCTTGTAGGGTAGATACTGCAACCAAGCAGCATTTATTAGTTACCTACTGTATACCGGGCATTGTACTAAGGGCTGGAGATATAAAGAGAAAAGCAAATGAATCCCTGCCCTCAAGGAGTTTACATTCTAATGCAGAGAGACTGAATTCCAGGTATGGATATATTTGTGTCTCAGGACAGGTGGCTCCTGCCTGTCCTTTGGTTCCACCTGCCTTCCAAAGCCTTCAAAAGAGGCTCCACACTTCTGATCTAATTGGGGGTGGGGGAAGGAATAAACAGTTAGATAAGCAAGTGCAAAGTATATTGAATTTCAAAGAAAGGGAGGAATTCCAGGCAGGACAGAGCCCAGGCTAGGAACTGGGGAGCAAGGAGGCAATGGAAGTCCCTGCCCTTGGGAAGATTCCAGTTATAATGGGGGAGACACAGTCCTTGCCCTCAGGGACCCTCTAGTCCAGAGGTTTTTTAACACCATTTTGGTGTAACCAACTCCTTAGGAAATCTGGTGAAACCCTCCGACTCCTCAGAATCCTGGTTGTAAATGCACAAAATAAAATTCATAAGATGACAAAACAACACTGAAATACAGTTATATCTATCTATCTATCTATCCATCCATTCCATCTCTCTCTCTGCCTCCCTATTTATTTCTCTCTCTCTCTCTCTCTCTCTCTCTCTCTCTCTCTCTCTCTCTGTCTCTCTCTCTCTCACTCTCTCTCTAGTTATCTACCTATCCCCCTTCCATCTGTTGGAACAAAGATTTTTTTTTTTAGAAAAAGGGGGAGAAAAAAAAAACTCGGCAAAACCAAGTGATGCATGGGAAAACACCTGACGGTATCTGCAATGTTCCACACATGTGTCCCTGGCCCCCCCCCCCATTGCCCCACCCCAGTCTCTCTCCCTGGGGCCAACTTTGTTCTTTACAAGTTCACAATATTCATTTTTTATTATGTGGTTGCTCTTTCCAGTTACATGGTTATAGTCATCATGTATATTGTTTCCCCTGGCCCTCCTTCCTTCATGGACATCTGTCTGTCTTTCCGTTCCTCTCTATCTTCATCTCTCTTCCCTTCTAGGGTCCCTTCCATCTCTGACATCCGATGATTTTATAACCTAAGCTGAGGTTGGGGATGGGGGCTGGGGAGGGGGGGGCAGGAGGCTGTTGTCCAAGGTAGCTCGCTGAGCCCCTATCCCCAACTAGTAAGCCAGGAGAGAACAGCCCTGTTTTCATGAATTGTGGTTAGAAATTGAAAAAAATTAAATTAAATTAAAAGTTGCCCTTTGAGCTGATGGAAATTGTTGACATCACAGACACTGTGGGAGGGGTGAGGGGGTGGAAGGCAAGAGAAACAACCTCAAATAGCATTTAAACAAAAACAACTGGGGCGGGGAAGGAGGTCCAGAAAGGCTGACCTTGACCTCCTGCCAGCCTCACACCTCAGCAGGAAAGGACAGCTCCCAGGATGATCGCTCATGGAGGGCAGCATCTTTTACACGGGTCTCTGTGTTGTGGTTTTTTCTTCTCCAGAGATCCCATTGCAACAGATTATTACAACTTTGTGCAGTTCCCGAGGCAAGTGAAAGGTAGGGAGCACTCCAGATGTGGGCATGAACTGGGGAATGAGGGGGGAGGGGAATCACTGGACTGGGGACTTTTCAGCTAGACCTCAAAGGATGTTGGGACTTCAAAAGGCAAATGAGATGGGGAAGGAAATCCCAGACAGGAAGGTGGGAACCGCTGGGTATGGGTAAGGAGGAAGAGCAGGTTAACCTGGCTAGAACTAGATTAATCAATCAATTAATCAACAAGAATTTATTAAGCACCTACTATATGCCAGACTGCTAAGTTCTGGAGATTCGAGTATAAAGAATAGAATAACTTCCTAGAAAAGAACTTTTATCCTAATGAGGGAGACAGTGAGTACATATGAAAATACATACAACATAAATATGAAAGTAATAAATACAGATATTTACAAAATAGTCAAATACAAGATTGGGAGAGATCAGGAGAGGCTTGATGCAGAAGATGGTGTGTGAGTGCCATCTCAGAGAAAGAGGTCTGAAGGTGCCTCCATTTATAATAACAAGCAATTGGTATTTATGCAGTACCTAAGGTTTACAAAGTACTTTTCTCATGGCTACCTTGTAAGGTAGATAGTGCAACCAAGCAGCATTTATTAGTTACCTACTGTATACCGGGCATTGTACTAAGGGCTGGAGATATAAAGAGAAAAGCAAATGAATCCCTGCCCTCAAGGAGTTTACATTCTAATGCAGAGAGACTGCATTCCAGGTATGGTTATATTTGTGATTCTAGCTTTAAAGTAAATATTCTGTTGTAAAAGTTTAAAAAAAAAAAAGAAATATTGATTTGGTGGCTGAGAAGAGGAGGGACTGGAGATGGGGAGAGTCTGGAAGCATGGAGCCTAGTGAGGAGATTAACAAACGAGGCCAGAAGTTAGATGGTGAGATCTGGACGAGGGTGATGGCTGTGTAAGGAGAGGAGTTGGGGGAAGGGGATGGATGCTTTGGCGGTGGCATAGCAAGTCTTGGCCACAGATTGGAAGTGAGAGTGAGGATGAGGAAGGAGTCAAGGGTGACCAGGAGGATGCTCATGCCCTAGACCAAAATGGGCAGTTTGGAGGAGGGTTGGCTGGTGGTGGCAGTGGGAAATGTAATGAATTATTCGAGACAGTTAGGTGGTGCAGTGCACTGACCCAGCTCAAATTTGACCACAGACACTTACTAGCTGTGTGACCCCGGACAAGTCACTTAACCCCGATTACCTCCAAAATAATAATAACAATAAAAAATGTAATGAATTCCATTTTGGACGCATCCATTGGACATCCAGGTGAAGATGTCTTCCAGACGACACCCTCTCAAATACTTGCACAGAACTGCTGTGTCCTCCCTAATTCTCCTCAAGGCTAACCATCCCCAGTTCCTTCAACTCATCCTTTAGAAACCTAGTTTTCCTAAGCCTATGTGCTGTATGACCTGGCTTCCAGACTCTTCCCTGGTCTAGTCATTCCCCTTCTGAGCATGCTCCAGTTTTTGAGTTTCTCTTTGCAGTGTTCTGCACCCAGGACACCATCTCCCACCTGTGGCCCTTGGCACTGGCTGTGTCCCATACCTGGGATGCACACTTTCCTCACCTCTGCCTCTGGGAATCCCTGGTTTCCTTCAAGGCTCAGCTACACCTTCTACAGGAAGCCTTGCTGTTTCACCCTCCTCTCCTCTCCTCCCAAAATTACCTTGTTTTCTTTTTGCATATATTCAGGTTTTACTTATAGGTTACTTGTCTCTCTCAATAGCATATAAAGTCCTTCAGGGCAGGGGGGAGATTTATGTCTATCTTTGTATCTCTCGTGCCTAGTACAGTGACCGATTTGGACACTAAGCAGGACTGTGAGCGTAGAGGACATACAGAGAAACCAGAGGACTGAGGGGATAATCAGGGAAAGCACCTGGAGGAGGTGGGCTTTGAGGACGGGAAATGAGCCATAAGAGGAGGAGAGAAGGTAGCAATGAAACTTAAGAAAACACAGCCCTCTTCCAAAACCACCCGATCGCCACTGCCTTTCCTCTGTCCTCTCTTGCAGACGACGACGATGATACGATTTCCTACGAGAATATTCTGATCTGCCCACCCGTGGACGAAGGTGAAGACAAAGGTAAGAAGCCGCCGGCCAGGCTGATAGCTGGATGTCAAGCTGGGTGGAGGGCGTGGCTGGTTTGGTTTCTGGAGAAGGAAAGCTGATAAGAGCGGCTTCCCTTTTCTCAAGGTCTTCAAGCTTGACTTGAAGGTTTTATTTGTGAGATCGGCAGGGCAAGGATTGTCCTTCAGGGGCTCATCCGTAGGTCGAGAGCTGGAAGGGACTGCAGAGGCCAGCTAGAACAGCCTCCTCATTTTACAGATGAGGAGACTGAGGCCCGGGAAGGTTAAATGAGATAGCATATGTCGAGGGCTTTGAAAACCTTGAAGCGCTGCGTAAATGTGAGCAGTCCGCGCTCCCTCCCCTCCATCGAGGCAGCGCGATCATCCCTCTGCATCCCGTAGACTCTCTGCTTGACCTGGGTTCTTCTAATTCACCCCCCGGCTGGGGAGAAGGAGCATGGGGGCTGTGGGGGCTCAGCTCGGGGAAGGAGCGCCCCGAAGGCACTGGTTTCCTCCTTCGACCCTCTCTCTGCTTTGTCCTTCAGCTGCGGAAGAGTCTGCGGATTATCAGAACTCGGCATCCATCGAGCAGTGGAGACAGTCGATAAAGGGAGAAAGTATGTGTCCTAGACTGTGTGTTTGGGAGTCTGAGCCAGAGGTGCCTAGTGAAGGGTTATGGCCCTGGCTCCCTTCTGCCCTGGGGGGTGATCTTTACAGGCCCCTGCTCTGGGGCAGCTGGTGGCACAGTGGATAGAGTGCCCGCCCTTTAGTCAGGGGAACCCGAGTTCAAATGTGGCCTGGGACACTCACTGGCTGTGTAACCCTGGGCAGGTCACTTAACTCTGCCTCAGTTTCCTCGTCTGTCAAATGAGCTGGAGAAGGAAATGGCCAACTGTCTTTGCCAAGAAAGTCCCAAATGCGTTCAGGAAGACTCGGTCCTGACTAATGAACTAAACAACACCAGAATACCCTGCATCTTCACCTGGTTCCCACTTCAGTTACATCCTTCCAACTGGCTTGACTTGTGAAAACCAGCCACAAAGGGCTCATTTCTCCTGAAGGTGTGGTCTGTGTGGGGGAAGGGCAGGAGGTGACGGAGAGCAAGCTGGAATGTTGATCAGAATACGTTCATCAGTCCCCCTACATATGCCAGGCACTGGGCCTGCCCCAAAACAGCCTACGTTCTAGTCGGGACAATGTCTACACATGTGAGTACAGAGGAAATAGATTTGGGGGAGAAAGGCACTGTTAGACAGAAGGGATCAAGGCTTCCTGGAGGAGGTGGCAGCTAAGCCGACCTGGATTCTAACAGGCAGAGGGAGCCTGCCTGTCGGCTACAATTTGGTTGACTTCAACAAGCACTTATTAGATGCCTACTATGTGCCCAGCTCTGGGGGTAGACAAAGCCAAAGCAATACCTGCCCTCAAGGATCTTACAGTCTATCAGGGAGGGACATCGACCACGTACGCAGGTGATGTGAGGAGGGCTCAGGAAAGGCCTCCAAAAGGCAGTAAGTTCTAGGTTAAAGGAAGCTATGATTTTTGAGAGGGGGAGGGAAAGAAGGTACACGCACCAGGCCCAGAGTACTACACGGATACCGAATGGTCATTGAGGGATGGGTGAAATGGAATGTTCACAAAACCCGTGTAAAAGGTGCCAAAGCACCCTCTATCTTGTAGGAAGTTTGTAGGGAGGGGGATTATTATTGTCCTACAAGTAACGCAGGGCAGGGAGAAGCCCCCTCTGGCTTTTTCCTTGCCTTGGGAATCAGAATCTCCAGTGACACCCCTGAAGGACCTAGCCATCTCATCTCAAGGCTGTTGCTGTTCAGTTGTTTCAGTTCTGTCCAACTTTTCATGACCCCACTTGGGGTTTTCTTGGCAAAGATACTGGAGCGGTTTGCCATTTCCTTCCCCAGTTCATTTTACAGGTGAGGGAACTGAGATCCCCAGGGTTAAGTGACTTGTCCAGGGTCACACAGCTAGTAAATGTCTGAGGCCACATTTGAACTCCTGACTCCCAGCCCAACACTCTATCCACTGCGCCACCTAACTGCCCCCATCTCAAGAAGGCTAGATGGGATTACCACCCATGAGGTCTCCAACATGGACCTACCCTCTCCTACAGGAAGCCCAGAGGATGACTCCAGTGAGCCGGATTATGTGAATGGAGAAGTGGGCCTCATGCAGTGAGAAGGTAAAGGGAGGGCTGATGGGTAATAATCATTGCTCATATTCCAACGGCCCGAAAAGTTTCTAATGTGCTTATCTCTCGTGACTCTTTTGAGTCAGATTTTGAGGAGAGGGAGATACTTGTGATAGCATTGGTGCGGACGTCCTGGCATGGAAACTCCCTCTGCCTGCCTCAATTAGATTATTTACACAGTTGTAGTCCAATGCTACACCATCCCATCGGTCCTGCTTTCTTTATTCCACATGTGCAAAGAAAGACCTTTGTAAAGTGCTATCAAATGCTACATATCTGAAGTGCTATATATATATCAATGCTAGATATTATTATTATATCTTTCCACATTTCTTTGTATTCTTCATATTCGTCATACTGAGTGACCTTGGACTAGTCACTTGCACCTCAGTGCTCCCAGGCAACGCACGAAGACCATAAGTTACAGGGCAGGGGGTGCATTGGCAGAAGTAGCTTCCTCAGCGGGAGTTCCCCATACCAATGACATCACAGGTTTGGTCCAGGAAAACAGTCCTTAGACTAGAGTTTGTTTTAGACCGGACACTATCATTCCTTGGTCGCAGGTTTTGGGGTTTTTTTAATGGCAAATAACGTGTCTGGGATGGTTTTTGTCTGGACAGGTATTTTCTTCTCGTCCCTTTACCTCCCTAGCGCAGCGTAGGGTCCCGGGTGCAGACTGTCTTGTAACTCCGGTAGGGATTCGGGCGTTTACCTTTCTGTTTCCTCCATGAGTGGATCTGTCTTTTCCTCTTGGTTGAAGGGAGCCAGGCTGAGGAGCAGAAGGAAGCCGGGGCCTGCCCACCCACCCTGGGAAGACCGGCCCTACTGATTCCATCCAAGTCACCTCCCAGAGGAAGGATCTGCCTCCAAACCTGGCCCACAGGCCACCCCCCTTCCCCTCCCTCTTCCTGGAGTGACTCCAGCTGGTCCAAGTGCAACCCAACACTTGGCCCCTGAGATTGGCGTATGGCAGCACTAAGACACTTGGCTTCTGGTGTGGAAAGAACCCAGGGCCCAACTGTCCAGGAAATTTGACCTTGACGGGTTAGGAAAGCTCCTTCAGGTGAAGGAAGGACCATGAGATTCCTGGTATCTCCTCCATCTAGGGCCAAAGGACTCCTCTCTCATTGTCCACAGTTCTGTCTTGCTTGCTACCTGTCAGAAAGCTCTATTCACAGCGTGGTATAGTGGAAGGAGCCAAAGGGCCTGGGTTCAAATCCCACCCCTGTTGCTTACTTACCTGTGTGCCTTTGGGCAGGTGTCTTACACTCACTGGGCCTCAAGTTTCTCTTCTGTAAAATGGGGGGTTGGACTGAATGGCCCCTGAGATCCTTTCTAGCTCTGAATATGATTCGATGATAAACGTGAAGGCAGGTACCAAGACCCTTCTTCAGTCCTTTGGATCTGTGTCCTGAGGGCGGAGCTCCTGGATGTTGTCATTGACGGAGGCGGGTCTGTATTTTCTATTGTAATGACCTGGAGCTTTACCTCTCATAAAGCATTACCTTCACACACTCTCTAATATATTTACTATGATCAGAGTACTGGTATGGTGACTCACTTCCTACCCGCATGACTTCTCGCAATCAGTAAACATTTATTGAAGTCATCCCGAGTGCCAGGTGCTGTGCCAGGCCCTGGGGCACCATGGTCACTTGGCGGGGCAGGTGGTCACTGACCGTCAGAGACCCTCCACTTCTGAGGTCCAGGGAGAAGGCTGGCACCAGAGCCCAGGCCTTCGGACTGCTGGTCAGCTGCACTTTCCATCACTCCCTCCACAGACCCTTTGGGCACTGGACAAAATCCCTTGAGCCCATGCTGAGGAGTCCTCCAGCCTGGGGACTGGACATAGTCCCTGTCACTTCTGGAGGAATGGAGAAATGCAACTTGAAAAGGCGTCCTTTGCCTCTCCTTTTGTTTGGCAGGAGGGAGTCAGGGGGCCCCCAAAGCAAGTGGGGCTGTGGTGGAGAAGCCCCTTCTTTCAGGCTGGACTTGGAGTGAGGTGACGCTTACCCAGCAGAAACGGTCAGCCAAACCTGCGGGTCACTGGACAAATCACGAGAGCATAAAGCTAGAGTTGGCAGGGACCTTCTTAAAGGAGGCACACAGGCCAATCCACTCATTTTACAGAAGGGGAAACTGAGGCCCAGTGGGAAGGGTTTGAATTGGAAAAGCCGCAACTAGGGACAAAAGATGGTATGCTTTCGTGTCCCCTCTCCCCCAACTACACTCTCACAATAAATGGTTTGGGTGTTAAGCACTAACTTCCTTTGTTTCATTGGGAATAGTCGGGCCTTCACTCTGTTCATAGACAGATTTGTTACTCCAAAAATCCAGGCCTCTGTGGGTGTGGGAAAGTCCCCTCCGCTGACAGAGATCACCACCCCTCCAAGCCCCAGTGCATAGCCGGGGGAAACAATTTATCCCTCGGTGGCCAATGCTCCAGGGATGAGGTTCCCTGTATGTGGCCGGCTGGATCCTCAGACCATGGACCCACTGTCCACGGCTTTTCCAGCCAGAGATTGTGCTCCCCGGCCGGAGCCCTCAGGAACCGGGGTGTCCTCCAGGCCTGGGGAGGCTTTGGGGGTCTTCAGAAGTGGGCGTATGGGGGAAATGAGCTTAGCGTCAATGGAGCCCCAAGCCAGCGTTATGCCAGGGACACCCAGACAATAAAAGCCCCCAAAAGCTCTCAGGAGGTCACGCTCTAAGGGGAGAGACAGACATGTGACGGTGCACGGGGCGGAGGGAACCCCAAGGTGGCTGGGGAGGAAGGCACTACTGGGGGACGGAACCGGGGGAGTGGTTGGTGCTTCAGCCGTGTCTTTAAGGAAGAGAGGATTCTGGGAGGTGTAAGGAGAGCGTGTCGGGGCGGGGGATGACCGTGCAAGGAAGTAAGCACCTATATGGTGCAGTGGATAGGGCGTAGAGCCTGGAGTCAGGAAGACCCGAGTTCAAATCCAGGCTCAGATACTTCCTAGCTGTGTGACCTGGGTGAGGCACTTCACCACTGCCTGCCTCCAGTTTACTCATCTGTAAAATGGGGATAATAACGGCACTTCCCTCCTGGGACTGTTGTGAGGATCAAATGAAATAGTTGCAAACTGCTCAGCACAGTGCCTGGCACACAGTAGGTGCTATGTGGATGCTAGCATTATCTCTTACAAATGTAATTACATTGGATTCTCACAACAAATGTGTGTATGTGTGTGTGTGTATACACAGACATAAATTAAAAAAAAAATCACACACATCTATATGGTAGGCAATAGCAAAAATATCCCCATTTTACAGATGAGCAAACTGAGGCTCAAAAAAGATTAAATGACTCCTCTTCTTAGGTCACAAAGATAATAAATTAAAAGTGGCCAATACCCTTTGCCACCACTGACCTGATACCCAGCCTGAAACTCAAGGAAGCCAGGCCCAGGGCCCTTCACCGGTCCCGGTCAGAGACAGCAGGACCGTCGTCTGGCCTGACGTTTCTTAGTCCAAATCTTGTTTCTCAGAACTTCCCTCAAGCAGTCTCCGCCTTCCTACCTGTCTTGTCAGAAAGCTGACTAACCAGCCTGCACTAATCACCCCCAGGCCCCTGCCAAGGATGCCCAGAGGGGATTAAGCCATCAGATAGGCTCCACCAGACGGCTACTAGAGGCTGACTACTTGTCCCCATGTCACAGTGAGGGCCCTATTTGTGCAGGGGGGACCACATGGCCCGAGGCTCCTTGGGCTCTGACCACCTGTCACTCTGAGATGGGTAAGTAGATGCACTCAATGGTCTTCTATCCTGCTTTCTGTATGAGGCCCTGACCCTCTCAGGCTCCCTAGAGCGCCCACCCAGAGTATGAAATAGCCACATGCTCTGATGGGGAACAAAATGCTAATGGGGGGGCATGGGAGAGGCTCAGAGGTCGGGAGGGGATGTCCCCAACCCCTCCCCCTCAATTTTCAGCTGCACCGTGGCCAGGGTGCGTGCCTGTGGATGCGCCTCCAGCATCCTTTCTCTGGTAACAAAGCTGAGGTCATCAGTCAGGATTAACCTTGCACCCGGCAAGAGGCACCTAAGTAGGTCAGAAAGAGCAGACGCTGATGAGCAATCTGACCTTTCTTTACAGTAAACAAGGCTGAAGCTGAAGATGCTCTGCCCATAGCGTGATTACTTGTAGGTCACCAGAACCTCAGAAAACGTCAACAATGGAGGGGACCTTTGAGAACAGATCCAACCCTCCATTTTACAGGGAAGGGCAGGGACTGACCCAGGGTCCCACAACGGGGCTCAACCCATCCTGTCTTTGCTTCTCAACTCGATTCAACAAGAAATATTTTTTAAGCACTTATGAGGCACTAATGCTTGAATGCCTTATTCCCAGGAGGGTCTGGCATTTCCCCGCTGTGGGGAGTGGGCTACCAGTCTCTCCGCTGAAGGCTGGTACGTCTTCCTTACTGGGGAGGACAAACATTTTAGGCCACTGCCTTCTGGGAGCTGTATTGGCATTCGGGCAGCTAAAAACACATAGCATATGAAAAGCAAATGTGTCCTATGAAAGCAGAGATAAAGAAATTATTTTCAAGTCGGAAGACTTGAGTTGAAGGGATGCTCTGTCCCTAAGTGCTGTGTGGCCCGAGCCAGGCTCCTCAGCCTCTCTGAGGAGTTAGCTGGACGTTCTCTCTGGATCGTGGGGTCTGTAACGCTGGCCTGGTACCTTACATTCTGCACCAGCCCCTCTGGGCTTTCTGAGGATGGAGAGGAGGAACACCACCGGTCAGGGCCTGCAAAGTTTGTGGAAGCAGACAAGGGGGTGCAGAAGGGAGGTCTCTATTTAAGGAAAGCATTCCTAGAGACAACATGCTCCAAATTCTGATATTTTATTTTCAACATTCCAACACAAATGGGGGGAAGCCGTGCTGCTGGTTTTCATCAGCGCTGGTCAAGTTCAAGGTCAACATCCCTTCGGGGCAAACATTGTATACTTGTCTCCTGAACTATGTGGCCAAAATTCTAACAGCAAGGGGAGACCTAGATCCCACCATGAAGTGAAAATCTTAAGCCCATTTTTCCCGATCAGAGCCAGGGAGGACGTGGTCCCAGACCCACGGAGGCTGCCTAAGCTGAGGCAGTGCCTGCCAAGCGCGGATTCCCAGACTCGCTCTCTAGCTGACTGCAGGCGCCAGGGTCTTGTGGCAGAGCTTGGCGAGGAGGCCCGCCATCTGCAGCAGGGAGTTCACACCATCCGCTATTTTCATATGCGTGTATCCAATCTCCTGAAAGACCAATCCCATTCCCGCCTGGTCAGCCGCAGCTCTCACTGCTTCTTTGCCCTAATAGCAGTCAGGGAGCTGAGACCCCCTGAGCATGGCGGGCTACTCTTGGCGGAGCTTGGCCTAGTTCCTAACATGATCCTGGCAGGTCTACAAGAGCCCAGGCCATGTGTGGAAACTCCAACCAGAAAGGGGGTCCTACAAGAGGAAGGGAGCTTCCCTGCCCCCCAGCCTCAATGAACTCAGCACTCTAGTCCGGGCCTTGGAAGCCATGGCCGTGCCCAAACTATGAATGCCTTAAGGATGGATGAGATGGGTCACAAACACTAAGGTTCTAAAAAGAGTAAATCTGTGTGGCTGTCTCTTCTCTCCCCTCTGCCCCACCCAAAGAACTGTCCCTCACAATAGAGAACCAAAAAGTAGGGAAAAGTTCAGCAAAAATGACCAAGAAGTTGCAGAGGTTTTTCAAACGCAGGGCCCTACACCCATATCCCCCCACTTCAGACTGATCCCTGCCATGGGGGGGGAGGACAGAAGGAGGAAGAACTGTTCCTCCGGCCCTGGGGGGTGGGGGTCCTGATGATTCCCGTTTCCAGATCCCTTTAACATCCCTACAATGAGAGGAGATTCCCACTGACCTTGATAAACTCCAGCTTCAGATACTCGGGCATCTGGAAGGTTTTACACACACGGAAAACGTTGCCGATGACGTCTTCAGGGGAGTAGCCGAGACGCCAAAGGTGGGCGAGGATCTGGGCAAAGAACAGACACGGGCTGCTGAGGGGTTCCGGGAAGCGCCCGAGCCTCCCCGGGGAAGGGAGAGCCGAGCGTGGCTCCCAAGTGTGCCTGACACACGGCACATGTCCACAGTACCCAGTCCCATCCAGACCAGGAACACCACGCTTCCCACCACCTTCTAGCCAAGGCCTGACGGCTTTAATCAATCACTGTCCCGGGCCGGCCCTCTTCATCCTCAGCCACAAAGGGCCTTCCAGCCCCAGCCCCGGCGATCTTTCTGGGGAGAGGGCACCCAAGGGGAAGGGGGGGAAGGGGCCAAACCTTGTAGGCCTCATCGATGTTGGCGCTCACGCAATGCTGCAGCATCTCCTTCACCAGGAGGGGGTGGGGCTCGTCACAAACCTGCACCAGAGAGAAGCAGAGGGGCCCATAGCAGAGGGGAGGTTTCAGACACACCCCAGGCTGGGCCGGGCCCTGGGGCGGGTCCCCGGGGGCCACCAATGCACCCTTCTCTACTTCCCTTTCCATCTAATCCCAAGGCAAATGCAGATGCAATCGCAAAGCCTTAACAGGCATCACTGCCAGAAGTGAGAAAGCTCCTTCAACATAACTGAGCATTTCTTGACTCTAAGGAAACCACAGGCTAGTGGCTCACAGAGCAGGGCTGGAAGGACCCTCAGAGGTGGTCTAGAGTCATCCCCCCATTTTACAGATGAGGAAACTGAGGCCCAGAGAGGCTAACCGACTTGCCCAAGGGCACACAGGTATGACGCATGGGGGTGGTAGCCAGCACTTATAAATGTTGTCCTATTGGGTCCTCACAGCCACCTTGTGAGGGAGGTGCCATCAATATCCCCATCCTGGAGACGGGGAAACTGAGGCCCACAGAGGGTATCTGAGCTGCCCAGGGTCACAGAGACGGCAAACATCGCAGGTAGGATTGAACACTAATAATCTCAGCTAGCATTTATGCAGCCCTTTACAGTTTGCACATTGCCTTAAGTCTGTTTTCTCGTTTGAGCCCCATGACAACCCTGTGATGTAGATGCCGTTACTATTATAATATAATATGATATAATATAATATATATAACATAATGTTCACCCATTTTACAGGTGAAGAAGCAGAGGCAAACAGAGGTTCAGTGACTTGCCCAGGCTCTCAAAGTTAGCTATCTGTGGCAAGATTTGAACCCAGGGCCTCTGCCTCCCGAGCAGGCGGTGTGCTTCCTGCTGGGCCACACCACTGCTAAATCCTAAGCATGGGAACCCCTGGATTAAGACAAAATATGCCAAGGGAGACCCCAGGCTCTGCAGCACTAACGAGATGGGCACCTGGCCTGGCTCAGGACAGAATGCTAAGGGCCAGGGAAGCTAGGTGGCACAGTGGATAGAACACTGGCCCTGGAGTCAGGAGGACCTGAGTTCAAATCCTATCTCAGACCAGACACTTGACACTTACTAGCTGTGTGACTGTGGGCAAGTCACTTAACCTCAACTGCCTCACTCAAAAAAAAAAAAAAAAAAAAAAAAAGAATGCTAAGGGCCACTGAGCCTGGCTGGAAGGAGAGCAGCTAGGGGAGATGGTGGTGCTCCCAGGGATAGGGAGGGGCTTGGGAAGGACAGCGACCAGTGAGCAGAGCTGACCCCCAGGAAAGCACATGGGGTGAGCAGCCCCTGAACAAGGGAGGCCCAGACCCGGCAGAACCAAGCTGGCCGCTGTGGACATGGAGCTGCGCTGGCCACTGACCTTTCCAAGGCCAGTAAGAACAGAGCGATTCACTAGTCCAGAGGCATCCCCGCTGCCGCCCAGCGCTACCAAGTCAGCCCCTCACCAGCCCCAAGAGGCGATGAGCTGCCTCACTACCCTTGGACCCCTACTCAGCCCTGGTTGGGAGGCCAGACAACTGGGCCTCTTACTGCCCGCATGGCCTCAGACCAAACACTCCACCTTCCTGGGCCTCAGTTTCCTCTCCTGTCAAATGAAGGGGTCAGACTCGACAGGGCCTCAGCTCTGTCCCATCTCTGCTCTATAGAAGCCTGAGGCCAATGCTGACCCCGCTTCGCTTTGCCTCTGCCCTCAGAGAACAGCCAACCCTCGGATCTAATCAGAAGCAGCCCCCAGCCTCACTTCCTTTGCTCCCACCTCACCTCAAGTGGCAAAGACCAGGGGTCACAGACAGAGGGGTCCCCGACGCAGTCCCCACCCCAACTGTCAGAACAACATAATTAACTTGGGGAGAATCTCTGCCCCCTCCAAACTCCCCAGAGGATGCTTGTGCAGGGCTCCTCAGCCTGACCAGGGGTGGCCGTCTGTCTGTCCCTCAGGCCTCCTGACAGACAGGGGGCCTATTCCTGCCCCCACAAGAGGGACGATAGGATTCAGATCGGGACCCAGATCCAGCCCACAAGCTATGAATGGCTTTTTAAAGATTCACTTGGAAATACGATACAACTTAATTAAAATGTAAAAATCATTCTTGACTAGGGCCAGTCTGGCCCCCGGTTGGGGCAGTGTCCTCATTTTCCATGGGGAAGCTGATCTCCCTGAGCGATAGCTTTCTCAGCTCCCCAAGTCTGCAACAGTCATAGGTGGGGAGGAGAAGAGAATGGGTGGAAACAGGGCAAATTCTCTGCACTTTCATCATTGCGGAAGGGAAACACAAGTATGCTACTAGGAGCTCCCACAGGACGCTTCTGTGAAGGGCCCCTAGAAACGCGAGCCGAGGGGAAAGGGCGACAGCTCCCCCCAGACGAGACTGTCTTACCTTGAATACGTTCTCACTGTTAATGAAGCCAAAGCCAGAATAGGTGGATTGTAAGTTGTTCAGCGCCTGTGGGGGAAGGGAGGGCACCCCACTGAGAAGGTCATCTGAGATCAGTGCTCTCCCCAAGGACCCTTCTCAAATTCCGGGCTGAAATGTGCTTCCCTCTGGGCCTGCTGCCAAACCCACCTCCGGCCCTTCCTCCCCCCCCCCCCCCGCCCGGGGGCACAAGGCCAGGGAAGCTCTTGCTCCTACCTGCCGCATGTCTCCCTGGGCTGTGAAGATGATGGCCTCCAGCCCGTCATCGGTGTACTCCACTCTCTCCTTCTCAATGACGGTCATCAACCTCGCCAGCACCTGGGCATCAGTCAGCTTCGTGTACCGAAGGACAGCGCATCGGGACTGAATGGGCTCTAAGAGTGACAGGAGGGGAATGGGGGTGAGTGGGGGACTGCAGCTCGGCCCCTCCTGGGGCCCCAGCACGGGAGCCCTGCTCATCAGCCCTTAGGCAATGTCTGGGGAAGGAATGAATGAATGAATCAAGAAGGGAAAGGCCTACCCCACGACAAGGCTGGATTCCCTCAGAAAAGGAAAAGGGAATGTTCTGGTCAAACTCAAATGTCTAAAAATGATGAGCCCTTAGCTGACTTGGGCCAGACACGCCTGCGACCTCACCCTGGATTCCCATGCCCCAAATCCACCCTGTGCATCAGGGGTCCCTCCTGAACACCCTGCCTGCAGGGCAGTGACTTTACTGTTGGAGGCCTAGCCCTGAGCGCCCTCCCAGCCCAGACCTCCACCGTGGGGTCTCCCTCTACCTCAGCAGCCCCGCCTCTGTCTGCTCCCCTGCTCACAGTGGGATGGGGGCTGGAAGGAGCCTCTCAGAGGCCCCCGGACAGCAGTAGTGACTGGCCCAGGGTCACACAGCCAGTGTGTGTCAGAGGTGGGATCTGAACCCAGGCTTTCCTGGCACCAGCTTTTTACGTCCTTCCCTTCTGCCGTCTCTGCCCACCCAAAACCTGCCTCACTTGCATCCTCTGAAGGAGGATGGAGGAGTACACGGCGGGAGCAGACATCCTGGCACCCATCTGCAGCCTCCCCCAATCCATTACCCATGGTCTCCCGCCTCATCACCTCCTCTAACAGTCCAGCTTCCTCCCAGACAGTCCAAAAGGCGCCTACTTTGGGAGACTTTCCCAGGGCTCTAGCCCCGAGCGCCTTCACTCTGAGCTAGCTCTCCATCTCCACGTGTGTATTTTATATTACATTTTATTTTTTTCAGTGAAAATCCACCTTCCCTCCCTCCCTCCCACCCATTAAGCTGGAAAAACAAACCCCTGCTACAAGCAGTTATAGTTAAACAAAACTAATTCCTGCATTGTCCACACCCAAAATGGAGGACGGGAATGGCAGGGGTAAAAAAGGAAAAAGAAAAGAGAAAAAGTTATTGGGTGCCTACTATAGGCCAGGCACTGTGCTAAGCACTCTATAAGTACTATTTCATTTGATCCTCACAACAACCCTGGGAAGCAGTTGCCGTTATTATCCCCATTTTACAGATGAGGAAACTGAGGCAAACAGGGTAAAGTGACTTGCCCAGGGTCACACATCTAGTGAGCGTCTCAGGCAGAACTCAAAACTGGGCTCTTTCTGACTCCAGGCCGGTCCTCTGTGCACTCTGGCGCCACCTAGCGGCCTTCTCTGAGTCCATCATCTCTGTCAGGACATGGGCCGCATGGCTGCTCACGCCTCGCCAGACCCCAAGTCTTTCAAAGTTGTCCTTATCTAAACTACTCTCTTGGCTCTGCTCCCTTCACTCCACATCAGTTGATCCAAGTCTTCCCAGGTTTTTCTGACACCATCCCCTTTGTCTTGTAGCACAACAGTACTCCATCACATTCACATACCACAACCTGTTCAGCCATTCCCCAACCGATGGGCATCCTCTCAACTTCCAGTGCTTGCCCACCACCACAAGAGCTGCTAGGAATATTTTTGTACAAGTGGGTCCTTTCCCCTTTTTTATGATCTTTGTGGGGTTCTGACCTAGCAGTGGTATTGCTAAGTCAAAGGGCATGCCCAGTTTTATAATCCTCTGGGCACAGTTCCACCGACACCCTCCAAATTTGTCATTTTCCTTTTTGGTCACATCAGCTAATCTCATGGGTTGGAGGGGGTACCTCAGTTGTTTAATATGCATTTTTAAAATTCGGAATTCAGAGCATTTTTTCATATGGCTAGCAATAGCTTGGATTTCTTCCTTTGAAAAATGCCTGTTCATATCTTTTCACTCTTTATCAATTGGGAAATGGATTTTTTTCTTGTAAATCTAAATCAATTCCCTATATATCTCAGAAATGGGACCTTATCAGAGAAACTCACTGCAAAGATTTTTTTCCCCTCAATTACCTGATTCTCTTCTCATTTTGGCTGAACTGGTTTTATTTGTATAAACTTTTTACAAATCTGATACACAGAAAATTACCCATTTTACCTCCTGCGAACCTCTCTGTCTCCTGTCTGGTCATGAACTCTTCTCCTACCCCTTGATCTGATGGGTCATTTCTTCCACGATCTTCTAATTTATGACACTGCGCTAAACGTCTAAATCTTGGACCCATTTAGAGCTTCTCTTGGTGTACGGGGAGAGACGTCAGTCTAGTTTCCGTCAGTCTGACCCTTTCTAGTTTTCCCCACGGTTTTGGTGACTAGCGAGTTCTCCAACAGCCGAGATCTTTGGGTTTATCGAACGATAGGCTACTGTGTTTGTTTGCTTTTGTACACTGTAAACCTAATTTGCTTCCCTGATCAACCTCTCTATTTCTGAGCTATTTCCAAACTGTTCTGATGATTACTGTTCTGCCATTTAGTCTGAGATCTGATACTGCTAGATCCCCTTCCTTCCCACTTTTTTTTCTCATTATTTCCTTTGAGATTCTTGGCTTTTTCTGCCTCCACATGAATTTTTTTTCTAGCTCTGTAAAGCAATCCTTCCATAGTATGATTAATATGATGTCACTGATTACATAATTTAAGGAGTACTGTCATTTTTGTTACATTGGCTTGGCCTATGCACGAGCAATTACTATTTCTCTAATTATTAATCTATATTTACCTGTCAAAAAGGAGTTGCATAGTTGTATTCATATAGTTCCTACGTGTGTCTTGGCAGATAGACTCCCGTGTATTTTATACTTTCTATGATTATTTTAAATAGAATTTCTCTTTCTATTTCTTCCTGTTGGATACTGTTAGTAACATATAGAAATGCTAGTGATTCATGTGAGTTTATTTTCTCTCCTGCAACTCTGATGTTCAGAGTTCATTACTCCAATTATATTTTTAGTAGGGTTCTCTAACTAAATCATCACACCACCTGCAAAAAGTGGTCATTCTGATCCTTCCTTGTCTGTTTGCCCTCTCATTTTTTTGTTTTATCATTACGGTGAGAATTTCTACCACTAATATTTTATTATGTATTACTTTATCTATAATTATTAATAAAATTGTAATAATGGACACAGTGAGAATGGACATCCTTGATTTACCTCAGTCTTACTGGAAAGGCCTATAGTTTACCCACAGCACAGATAACGCCAGCTGTTTGTTTTAGATAGATACTGTTTACCATATTAAGGAAAGACCCATTTCCTCTTATGCTTTCTGGTATTTTTAACTTTCCAGTAAAACAGGAATAGCTATTGTATCATGTCAAAAGCTTTTTCTCCATCGATTGATATAATCATACCATTTTGGTGTTCTTGTTATTAATATGGTCAATTATGTTTATAGCTTTCTTAATAATGAGCTGGGGCAGCCAGGTGGTGCAGTGGATACAGTGCCAGGCCTCTAGTCAGGAAGATGAATTTTCCTGAGTTCAAATAGGTTTTCAGACATTCAACTAGCTGTGTGACCCTGGGCAAGTCACTTAACCCATTTTGCCTCAGTTTCCACATCTGTCAAATGAGCCAGAGAAGGAAATGGCAAACCACTCCAGCGTCTCTGCCAAGAAAACCCCAAACGGCGTCACGGGGAGCTGGACGTGTCTGAACAACAATAATGAACCGACCCTGCATTCCTGGTATAAATCCAAGCTGGTCACAGAGTATAATCTTTGTGTTGTACAGCTAGAATTTTCTTGCTAATATTTTATTTTAAATGTTTACATTGATATTCATTAGTTAAAGTAGTCTACAGTTTTCTTTTTCTGCTTTGACTCTCCCTGGTTTAGGTATCAAGACCATATTTTGTGTCAGAGAAGAAATTTGATAGGACCTCTTCTTTTTCAAACAGCTTTTGTAGTATTAGAATTAAGTATTCTTTAAATATTTGATAAAATTCACTTATAAATCCATTTGGTCTTGAATTTTTTCCTTGGAGAGCTCATGGAGGGCTTGTTCAACTTCTGAGATTGAGTTATTTAAGCTCTCTATTTCTCATTCGGTTAGCGTGGCCATTTTACCCCTGTGAATCTATCTTCATGTACCTATTTACTTACATACTGTCTCCCCTAAGAGAATGTAAGCTCCTTAAGGAGGAGAAAGAGGAGAAACGGAAATAATTGTTACAGGAATAAATGGCTAACCACCTGACCTGAATGGCAGCGGAAACCGCCAAGGAGTCGGACAAGAGATGACAAGCCTGGCTTGGAGGCATCATGGAGGCCCAAATAGGAACCACAATTACCTAAGCTTCTGGAGAAGCTCTTTCTTTGCCAAAAGTAAAGCAGCTGCTACATTTTTTTACTTGCTTTGATTATAATTTCATCCCTTAAAAGAGAAAAGGAAATGGTATTCTGGCCTTTCCCCCAGATGGTGCCAAAGATGAAGAAGGAAGCTGTTGGTCCCCGCAAGTCCAAGGCCTTGAAGGCCAACAAGACACAAAAAAGAAGAAAGTCCAAATGCAGAGCACCCTAGTACCATGGGAGAGGTACTCCCCAAGAGGAAAGGGAGAGGTATTCCCCAAGAGGAAAAGGTTGATCTCCATGCCACCATTACTCACAATGACTTGATTCACGCTTTTAAAAGTCTGAAGCACAGAAAGGTGATGGAGGATGAGCACAAGATAAGAATGATTGCAAAAAGACTGACACACGTACTGAGCTTGGGATGATCTGAATTTAGCAAATAACGCTACTAAAACCAAAAAGGGCTTTGGATGACTTCTGGGAGAAAGAGAAGAACACGGATGGATGTTTGGGAAAAACAATTGAGGGTAATGGAGGGAAGAAAGAGCGACTCAATTCCCATTTTGTGTGTTTTCTCAGCCACGAATGATCTCTAAGAAAGGACAGAACAAAAACGGCTCACAAAGAGCAGAAGCCCAGAGGCACAAGAAGAAGGCACGCAGGCATCCAGCTACCCTTTATGAGTTCAAGGGACCAGGCCCAAGCAAAGGACGCTCCAGAGAAAAGTGGTGGGTACATCCCAAAGAGGTCACAGCCTGGGAAAGGGCCTCGCTGTCCAAACGTTTACAGCAGCAGTTTTTGTTGTAGCAAAAAATCACGGAAAAGGGAGGCTGCTCATTAACCGGGGGAAAGCAGCATCTGAATAGGATGAGATGCTATCGCCCCAGAGAAATGATGAGAGAGACCTCGGAAGAGCTGTATGAGCTGTTGCTGAATGAAGGGCACAGAACCAGGAGAAGAAGAAAACGCCTGCCAAAGAAAGAACACTGATTAATGCAGCGACTCATCAGGACTCCCAAAGACAGACGACGAAGCGCACTTCCCGGCTCCTGACAGAGGGGGTGATGGACTGGAGGAGCCGGCTGAGACACGGCCAACAGGTGAACCTATCAGAACAGGGACTGAGCCGTACGTGGAGAGAGGAATTCCCTGCCCAAGAGCTCCCCGTTTCAATGAAATCCCAGGTCCAGTCCCTACTGCTACCTGTGCTACAGTTTATATTTGTTAAGTTTATAACTACATAAAAAAGTAAAAAAACTTTAAGAAGGAAAAAAGAGAGGGAAAAACAGCCGAGCCAATGTCAGTGACCTTGAAAGACGACGGAGAATCGCAGACATACCACAGAACTCGAAATGGGCGGATGTCATCCTGGTCTAAAAGGAAAGGAAGAGTGGAATCTGCACACACTAAGGCATTGCTCAGCTTTGGCTCCTGGGAAACTTGTAGGCTGCCTTCACCAAGGGCTGGTTTGTGAGAAATTAGAAGAGAGCGCGGCCGTCACCACAAGCCAAGGCTGAGCCAGGCCGGGTTCACTGACTCATGGAAATATTTAGCAGAGGATAGGCCCAAGGCTCTCAAGCTAGCCTTGTGAATGAGATGAAGAGGCCTGGGCTAGGTGACAGGACAGTTCCATGAAAATGGCGTGGTGGGGGACCAGAGCTAGCTGGCTTCAAGTGTCTGAAGTGCAGAAGAGAGACGGATTATAAGCGGCTCTGCTCAGCCTAAAAACCAATGGGAGGAGGCTGCAGGGGGCAGATTTCACTCAATCTAAGGCAAACCCACCAACCAAACTCTGTAAAAGTGGGCTGGGGCGCCGTGGAAGGTGGTGAGCTCTCTTTCACCTAAAATCTTCAGGCCCGTGTTGGAGAAGCACGTGCTGGGGAGGAGGCTGGGGGGAAACTTGCAGGTCCAGGCGTGACCAGATGCCTCTGAACCCCTTTCCAGCCTGGAATTCTGTAGTCCCCACTTCCTCAATAGTCCCCCCCCGCCCCGCCACCAGCCCTGCCACTCTCCTCCGGTCTCCTAGAGCAATTACTGCCTAGACCACTGACTCAGATCTCGATTTTCTGCTTGCTTGGGTCTGCAGTACTCATGGGAACTACAATCATCTGCTTTTCCCTCCCCCTCCCCTAATTTCCAGTTCTAGGCCCATAAATCAAATCAATGTTGTCACTATCGCTAGAGTGAGTACGTCAATACACTCCCTGACTCAGGCTTTCTGCGCCATCCCTCTAACTTTCCAAACCCAAACCTCATTCTCTAGCCACCAGCCCCCTCTATGTGTCATCTCCCCGTTACAGGAGATACAAGAAGCTGGTCAAGGGGGTATGGGAACTATATGATAAGTAACTATATTAGCCTCCTGAAATATTCTGAAAGTAGTAGTATTAGTTTTTTTAAATTGTATATTAGAGAGAAAATTGTGAGGAGGAGGAAAGTCAGGGTGGGAAAAAGAGGGAGTGTTCTAGCCCATCTGAACAACTTTCAAGAGAACACTGACTGAACAACAATGGCAGTGTTTCAAAATACCAGTGAGCAGCTACTGTGTGAGCCCCGCCACCATGAGGCACCGGGCCCGGCTGGCGGGGGGTTGTAAGCACAGGCAGGTGTCCCGTCAGCAGGGGCCCCAGAGGCACGCGCATCACACTAACAACAGGAGGTGAACACGTGAAACACAGCGTGCACCAGAGGAGCTCGGGGTGGGAAAGTCGCCTGTGGCTGAGGTGGGATTAGAAGGTTCACCGAGACAGGAGCTGAAGGAGATGGGAAGGAGACATTCCAGGGTGGGGGAACAGAGGGGGCAAAGCCACAAAGGCACGAATGGGCCAAGAGAGAAAGGGACCCTAAGTGATGGTCTCCAGGAGGACAGGGAGGAACTGGGGTACAGCAGATTAAAAGCACTGGACTAGGGAGTCAGGAAGACCTGCTGCTTCAGACATGTACTATCCACGTGACCCTGGGCAAGTCCCTTCGTTCCTCTGGGCCTCAGTTTCCTCATGTGTCAGTGGCAGGAGGGGTGGGAGTCTCAGGACCAGTCAGCCCCTTCCAGTTCTCCATCCACAGCCGGAGGCGCCCATCCTTACCTATGATTTTGTCCGAGGCGTTACACGCGAGGGCAAAGCGGGTCGTCTTGGAATATATCTCCATCGTCCTCCTCAGGGCTTGCTGTGCTCCATCAGTCATGCTAGGAGGGAGAAAATGCTCAGTGGGTCATCTGGCACTGGCAACAAAGGGCCTGGGGCTGCTCCTTCTTCTGGGAGGCCATGTGCCCCCGACTTGGGAGCAGAGGGCCTGAGGATCCTGGGCAAACACAAAATCAGCCACAGGAGTCGAGTAAGGTCTTCACCGCCGCCTGCCCAGGCCTCAGTTTCCTCATCTGTACATTGCAGGGGCTGGATGAGATGCCTCCCTGTAGTTCTGGATCTCTGGATGGTCTGAGGGCCTGGACAGTGAGTCAGGGGAGTGCACTCATCTCCCCACACACTGAAACAACATTACGTGGAAGGAGAACGGGGCTGCCTTAAGGCTGGGCTTCTTAACTGGTCTGGTGAAGCCCCTGGCCCCCTTCTCAGAAGGTCATTTGCTGCCTACATCAGCTACTGAAAGGAATGCCAACTTTCCATTAGAGGCTAATGAAAATAAAGACCCTGCTTTTTTTCCCATCAGAGTTCCAGGACCCCCGTCCCTAGACCCTGGCCCACCAGCCCTGGCCTAAAGCTTTCTAGAATGACCTCACGAGGAGCAATCCCACCCAGCCAATTGTGTCAGGCGCCATTTACATTCACGGTCACTCCTCAGTCCTTCCTCCTGCTCCTCCAAGAGATACAACCCTGGAGGATGTCTACTGGAGGCCCAGCCGTGCAATGGGCTGCCCACTGTTCCCATGAAAAGTGGGGGCTATCCGGCAGGTGGCCAGTCGCGCTCACCCATGAGCTGGCATGTAAATTCTCACTTAAGACTTCATTAGGCCGAGGCAGCCGGCACACTCATACACAAACCCACAAAAATATTTATGAGTCATCTAACAAATGATGGCTCCATCAACAAAAATAAGGGTTAAGGCCCGGGTTCTGCTAAATAGATTTCCAAAGATGTGGGAAGCAAATCCCCCAGGAGGGCAGAGGCTGGCTTCCGTCCCCACCCCCCAAAAGATGCGGTGACTGAGGCCAAACGCCATCCCGTGCACAGCTCCCGCCATCCCACCTGTCTGCCTCGTCGAGGATAATGATTTTGTGACGGCCTCTGGGGAGGGTGACCTTCTGCTGGGCAAACAGCTTGATCTTATTCCTCACCACGTCGATGCCCCTGGAACGACAACGCCAAATCATCCGGCCCTTCCCGAGGCGAGCCCCGAGCCCATGAGGAGCAGCCATGAGCCACCCGCCAGGAGAACGCCACACAAAACGCCTTCTCCACCGGCCCTCCCGAGATTGCTCGGGTGCCCACGTTCAGGCTGAGGAAACTGAGGCTGGGCGGCAGCTTGACCTGGGGCCTCCGAATCCCAGGTTCTCACCCTCAGCTTCCCGAAGTGGGCTGTCCAAACCCAATGAAGGAGCTCCAAGCAAAGGACCTCATGGGGTTATTTTCTACAAAGGGGCTGTTTTCAGCTGTGATACAAAATTGTCCAAATTCAGAAGGAAGAGGGCAGGAGCTCTTTCCAGTTAGTGACCAAGAGGCCTTTCTCTCTCCAGGCCTCAGTTTCCTCATCAGTAAAAGAAGGGGACAGGGGTTGGATACACTGGGGGTTCTTAATGTGGGCTCCACTAAATTGTTTTTAAAAATATTTTGACCGCTGTTATTTCAATATAGTTGGTCTCCTTTATTATCCCATGAATTTGATGCATTTAAAAACATGACTGAGAAGGGGTCCATAGGCTTTACCAGACACTGCCAAAGGGGTCCAGGACAAAGACCCCCTGCCCTGGGGGACCTCTGGGGTCCTGCTAGCTCTAAATGCCATGATCACTCGTGAAGGAACTTAGGAAACACGCATACTGTGCAGAATTTGTATGCTGATGGTTATGAAATAAAGGCCCTTTGTGTGGGAGGATGGGGGAGAAGATAAGGTAACAGGGACAGGGGAAAAGGAGAGGCTGAGAAAGAAAACAGTGAGTAAAAATGAGACGGGAGGGAAATTCACAAATAGTAATGATAACTGAATGTGAATGGGATGTTTACAGCAGCTCTCTGTGGTAGCGAAGAACTGGAAATAGCAGGGATCCCTTCAACTGGGGAATGGCTGTACAAGTTGTGGTGTAAGAGATGATGAGCTTAACCATCACGGAAAGACTTGCACGAAACAAAGAGCGAAGTGAGCAGAATCAAGAGAAGGTCATACACACATAGGAACGCAAAGTCATTCTGACCATTATAAATACACAAATGAAAAACAAAGGGCAGAGGAGAGACACAATCTGCATCCAGAGAAAGAACCGACAAACATAAGCGTGTGTAGAGTGATTTCACATACACATGCCTATTTGTGTCTAATGGGAATTGTCTCTATGGCGGGGCAGGGGGAGAAGGGAAGAAAAAAAGGAAAAAAAAAAGAAATGTACATGATAACTTTGTCGTGTATTTAGAGGGAACAGCAAATTACACAAGGTAGATTTGCAGTTTCATGTGCAATCATCTTTTTTACGGTACTGTTAGGGAAATACTTATTTTGTTCTATGAAATGAAAATAAAATAAATCTGTAATACCAAAAAAAGATAGTCTAGGTTCCACAGGCCCACATTTTACAATCCCTTACTTTTATTAATTCCTATAAAGTATCGAGGGGGCAAGCACAAAAGGGGGGGCAAATAAGCGACGTGTAAGTCTGAAGAGTAAAGCCACACACACCAGGGTGCCAACTCTTGGCGCTGCCCAGGGGCCAGGACCCACCTGTCGTTGGAGGCATTCAGCTCCAGAACGGCGTCCTTCAGGGAGGGGCCCAGCAAGGCCCTCGCCAAGCACAGAATGCTGGTCGTTTTACCAGTTCCTGGGGGACCCTAGAAACAGACTCTCCCCTGAGCACTTCAGGCATGAGAAGGACCCTAGCCCCTCCCTCTGTCCCTCCTGAAGGTCGCTTATGCGCCCACTGGACATTCCAGGTCACAACCCAGTGCGGGGCCTCACAGGTGACCCAGGGTAGGAAGTACTGCAGGGCATCCCCACCCCCACTTTCCAGATGAGGAAACTGAGGTCTACCCCTCTCCCTGAGTGGTTGAGTCAGAATGAGAACCCTGGGGTTCTTCTCACCCTCCTAGAACACCCTCCCTTCTGGCCTCCTTCTAGGCTCAGCTCCAATCCCACTTTCTGCCAGAATCTCCCAGGCCCCCCACCCCAGCTGTCAGAGCTACTCTTGGGGGATCACGCCCTTTCTTCAGTTAACCCCACACTGTGTCACCCACCAGAACCTAGGTCCCCGAAAAACAGCCCTCAGGTTTGCCTGTCTTTGTATCCCCGGGGCTTAGCCAGTACACAGCAAGTGCTTAATAAATGCCCATGGACTCACACGGGGCTTTTTTGGCTTCATTTAAAGGAAAATGAAACCGAAGAGGCCCAAAAGTAAGTACTTACAGAAATTATAATATTGGGCACATTGCCTTCCCTTGAAAAAACCTACGGGAAAAAACAGAATTAACCTGGTTAGGGTGCGGATTCCCAAGGGTCAGGGGCCGAGCCCGTCCTCCCCACCCTAACTACCCCAGGACCACGTCGGTACCAAGTCAGCATTCCCGAATGAATGAGGGCACACAGTAGGCAGCTTAATAAATGCTTGGGGGTAGGGGGAGATGCATTCCCAACCAAACAGGGGGTAGAGGCAGCCAGAGACCATAAGAGAGATCTCTGATTACATGAAACTGAAAAGCTTCTGCACAGACAACATCAGTGCACCTAATATAAGAAGGGAAGCAGGTGAATGGGAAAAAATCTTACAAAAGATAAGTCAACAATTATTTATGTATATATATGTAAAAAAAGTCATTCATAAAAATCTATTAGTAAAAATAAATGGTTGTTGACATGACCTGACCTTGTCTTGGGATCTCCAGCACCTAAGCACAGTACTTGGCACAGAGCAGGTGCTTAAAAATGCTCCTGTGGGGGCAGCTAGGTGGATATAGCACCTGCCCTGAAGTCAGGAGGACCTGAGTTCAAATCCAACCTCAGACCAAATACTTGACACTTACTAGCTGTGTGACCCTGGGCAAGTCACTTAACCCCAATTGCCTAAAAAAAAAATGTTCCTGTGGCAAAGAATTAGGAATCGAGGGGATGCCCATCACCTGAATGGCTGAACAAGTTGTGGTACATGATTGTGATGGAATACAACTGGGCTATAAGAAATGATGAGCAGGCGGATTTCAGATAAACCTGGAAAGACTTACAGGAACTGATGAAAGGTGAAGTGAGCAAAACCAGGAGAACATTGTACACAGTGACAGCAACATTGTGCAATGATCCGCTGTGAAGGACGTAGCTATTCTCAGCAACACACAATGATCCAAGACAATTCTGAAGGACTCATGACAAACAATGCTATCCATCCCCAGAGACAGGACTGATGGAGTCTCAATGCAGATCCAAGCACACTTTTTCTTTACTTTCTTTCTTTTTGTTTTTTTTTTGACTGTGTTTTCTTTCACAACACGATTAACATGGAATGTTCCACGTGACTACACACGTATAGCCTGTATCAAATTGCTTTCCTTCTCAATGAGGAGCAGAGTGGAAGGAGGGAGGGAGAATTGGGAACTTGAAAAAATTTTTAAAACAATTGTTTGTATATGTAATTGAGGAAAAAATAAAAAAATAAGTTTTTTAAATGCTCCTAGATTGGTTGATTGATGATGGCAATGGTGTCTTTAAAGAGAATCTTAAGAGTTCAAGGGGACCCCAGAGCTTATCATGTTCCATCTCTCAAACAGGAATCTCCCCCAAAGGAGCTATGGGTGTCTGAATGCCCACTTGTGGAGGGAACCCCCAGAGCCAGAGGGCTGAGCTCCTCCTTAGACATCCAGCTCAAGTCTGCGACTTCGTGACATCCACCCAGGGTCCCAGTGAACCCTCTGGAAGAGCGTACTCTTATAACCAGACGGTGAGGACAGCATGTCCAACACCTGAGGACCGCCTTCATCCCACTGCCCCCTGCCCACCCTTGGCCCCTTCCAGTAGGTCACGGTCCGCTAACGACACACAATAGAGACAGCCTAGTCCGACCCTCCCTCATGGGCCTCACCTCCAGGCGGCTCACAGTGTCTTCATTCCCCACGATTTCATTCAGTTTCATTGGCCTGTATTTTTCAACCCTGTCCAAAAAAAAATAAAAAACAAAAAAAATTTTTTTAAATTATTGCATGTTGTCATGTTCCCACCGATGGGATCCTAGCCAGAAGGAAGGCACCGCTGAGGTCATCTGTCCAACTCCCCCATTTTACAAATGAGGAAACTGAGGTCCAGGAGGTTCTATGACTAGCCCAAGGTCCTACAAAGGCATTTGAACCCAGGCTTTCTGACTTCAAAGCCACTGTCCTTACAAAGCAAGGAGTTTGTCGGAATAGGATTTTAAGTCTGACATCTTTGTCTGTAAAATGGAGATAATAATGGCATCTCAAACACTTACTAGCTATGGGACCCTGGGCAAGTCACTTCACCTCAGTTTGTCTCAGTTTCCTCATTTGCAAAATGGGAATAATAATAGTATCTACCTCCCACTATTGTTGTGAAGTTCAAATGAGAAGATAATTGTAAAGTGCTTAGCACAGTGCCTGGCACATAGTAGGTGTTAACTACTAATAAACATATATTCGGACACCTACTATGTGCCGGGTATTATACTGAGCTCTGGGGTTACAAAAACAGGCAAAAGACAGCCCCTGCCCTCAAGGAGCTTACAATCGAATAGGGGAAACGACAATTAATCAATAAACATTTATTAAACACCTATGGGGCAGCTAGGGGGCGCCACAGTGCATAGAGCGCTGGGCCTGGAGTCAGGGAGACTCATCTTCCTGAGTCCAACTCTGGCCTCAGACACTTCCTAGCTGGGCAAGTCATTCATCCTGTTTTGCCTCAGTTTACTCATCTGTCAAATGAGCTAGAGAAGCTGATGGTGAACCACTCCAGTATCTTTGCCAAAAAAAAAAAAAAAAAAAACGGGGTCACAGAGAGACAGACACGACTGAAACAACTGAACAAAAAGCGCCTACTATGTGTCAGACACTGGGGTAAGTGTTGGGGATACACAAAGAGGCAAGAGACAGTCCCTGCCCTCAAGAAGATTACAATCTAATGGGGAAACACCATGCAGGATAAACAGGAAATGAAGTCTTCAAGGGCAAACAGATCCACCCTCACGCTGCAGAGCCTTGGCAAGTCTTTTTCCCTCTCGGCCTCAGTTTCCTCATCTGTAAAATGGGCTCGATGGTCTCTGAAGTCCCAGCTCTAGAGCTCCTGGCTCTAAGGGCTGCTCCTGCCCTTGACCTCTCCCTCCCCACACCCTGCCTCCATCCGCCTGGGCCCTCCTTGCGGAGCTGCAGCCAGGGCTCTCCATTTCCCATCTCCAAGCCTTTGCCCAGCCTGTGCCCCCTGCCTGGAACGCCGTCCTCCTCTCACTACCCGTAAAATCCCCGGTCCTCCAGGGCAGCCTCCTACGAGAAGCCTTTCCTGACTGCCCCCCCATTTTTCTTGTATTATTCAGCATTCTGTACCAGGGCGCAGGGTTCTGAGTGCGCCCCCGCGGCCCCAGGGCCCCGCCCACAGCTCCGGGGGCCCCCTCCCCCCGGCCCGGCCTTCGCTCACCAGGGAAGCTCGTAGTGAGTCCCGGGGGCCTTGCCGGGAGCCGAGCCCGCGGCCGGGCCCGGGGCAGTTCCATTCTCCTCTACCTCCATTACCACTAAGGCCCCTTCCCGCCACCGGCCCGTGCCGGCGTGGTGACGTCACCAGACGTGCTCCGCCCCCTCTCGGACGACGGAGCGTGCGAGGCAAAAGAGCAGGCCCCGCCCCTTGTGCGCCTGCGCACTGGAGAACACAGGAGGGTGGAGCGGGGGGGGGACGGGGGGAGGGGGAACGGGGGGAGGGGGAACGGGGGGGGAACAGGGGGAGGGGGGCGGGGACAGGAAGAGGGAGGAAACAGAAGTGAGGGAAGAGGGAGATCAAAGGGAGAGGGAGGGGGGAAATAGACAAGGATGCTGCTAAGGGAGACATGAGGCTGTGTGTGTGTGTGTGTGTGTGTGTGTGTGTGTGTCTGTGTGTCTGTGTGTCTGTGTGTCTGTATCTGTGTGTGTCCTTTGCCAGGGTGGGGGACTACGGGTATGGATCACTTCATTGTTGGTGCAGTCTGCTAAACTGCCTTTTAATCTCTTCTTAAAATATTCTTTGTTATAAAGGGTGATTCTCTGGGGCTGCGGTGACATGGATGTACATGGAGAGAAATTAAGGTGATAGAAAAACAAAAAACTTAATTTGTTTTTGAAAAAAAATTCCCCTTTCTATTTATTTATTTTTAGATAACACACACACACACACACACACACACACACACACACACGCACGCAAAAAAGAGCCTACCCTTCGGCCTGTCTGCATGTCTATCTCCCTGTGTGTCCTTCAGATTATTTTCTGTCTGTCTGCTGCCTTTCTGTCAGTCAGTCAACAAGCATTATTATTATTATTATTATTATTTTGTTGCTTACTCTACACCTGGTACACCTGCTAAGTGCTGGGAGTACAAAGAAAATTAAAAAACTAACAAAATGATCCCTGCCCTCGTAGTTCACAGTCTAATGGGGCAGACGACACACAGAAATTGGCTGCGGGCCTGTCTGCTTTCCTCTCTTGCTGCCTGCCTGTCCACCTCTGGGAGTGGGGAGCCCAGAGAGTCCTGAAGCAGGCCTGCAGCACTGCAACCAGCTTGGCGGGGAGAGAGCCTGACCAGGGTCAGCCTCCTCTGGGAGAGCAGAAAGTCACGCAGGAATCACAGTCCCAGCATTCTTTGACACGGGCCAATATGTCCCCAAATGAATGAAAGACCATCAGTTGGAAGGAACCTTAGAAAACATTTTCTCCAACCTACTCATTTTATAGATGAGGAAACTGTGGTCCAAAGACAGGAACTGACCTTTCTAAAGTCACACCAGTAATAACTAGTAAATTCAAGATTCAAACCCAGGTCCTTTGACTGAATCTGGTTGGACAAAGCAGTAGAAGTTGGTGGAACCCTGAGCTCTCCAGCTCTGGCTTAATCCCTCTTTGATATTACAAATGGAGTTTTCTATATCCAGAGGCTTCCCAAGTGTTCTTAGAAATACTCTTGGGAATCCTAGCTTCCTTCAGGGCTCCACACACACACCACTGCCTACAGAAAACCTTAACTGATTCTCTTGGTTTTTGTGACTATTTCTCTTCTCAAGTATCTTTTATTTACTTATTGAGAGGGAGTGTTATAGTGGATAGAGGGCTGGACTGGAATCAGAAAGACTTAGGCTGCAGTCTTACTTCCCACAGCTAATGACTTTATGGCTGCTGGCAAATCATGTAACTTCTCAGAACCTCAGGCAACTCTATATCCATTCTTCCTTCCATTCATTCATTCGCTCAACTAGTCCTCTTTTTTCCTCCCTCTTTATACTACTAATTCATTGCCTAGATGGGATGCAGAATATAAATATTCTTCATCAGCTCTGAAAAGTTATATCAAATGATATATAATTCTCTTTTATCTTAACTCTAAGCCCCCAGTCAGAGAAAGAGTTCTGGTAATAACATTTCAGTGTTAGATCTCTGTCTTTCTCTTGTGCTCTGCCTGTCTCTGTCTCTCCCCCTAGGAGAGATCTCTGCTGGATCTCTCTCTCTCTCTCTCTCCCTCATTTGCTTCTTCCCTATCACATTTCATTGGTCCTCTTTGAAAATGAAGGACGAACAACAACAATCCCATTTCTAGTAAGTATATCCAGACTAGCAAAGGCTTGTGGTGAATGTTTTATTTATAAAGATAAATTCTTGTGTCCTGAGGGAAAGGTTTCAGTCTTCCACGAGGGAATTCTAGGGGAACCAGGTGATGCAGAATAACCTCCCTGAGGTCTGTAAGGGGAGGTGACAGAAACATGCAGCATCTATCCTGATTCATGCTTGATAAGCCCAAATAGCGCTGCTTGATGAGTCCTGCCCCCACACTTTGTGGCAGCTGCCCAGGCTTCTGAATTTCCCAGCTACACATGGCTTAAGACCTCCCCTTCTATAGATGACCTATGGGTCTTCTTCACACCTCATGAGGAGCTGCATTCCTCTGTGAATCAGGCTCCAGCTTGGACCTCCAGTGAATGGGCTTGAATGGGCAGCTGGAATCTCCACCATACCTGGCTTCAGGTTCTGCTGAAATTCGTGGCTGGGGAGCTGCTGAATTTTTTCAGAAAGAGTGAGGATCTAAGGCTTACCACCTTCAAGGCTAGAGACCTTTAGGCTCAGTCTTCCCTTTTGATACCTTTTCATGAAACAGGGCTTAGGTGGCTGCCAACAGGTTTCTCACATCTTTATCTCTGAAGGCTAAGCCATAACTAGGCAACAGCTATTTACCCAATAATCACCAAATGATTCTGGAGTTCAGGGTTCTCATTTTTTAAACTCTAAGCTCTCTTGTTGTCAATGCAAATGGCTAGGGGAAAGTCTAAGGGAGCCATCAGCGCTTCAAGCAAGTTCAAGCCAAGTCTGGGGGTTCAGCAGATTTTCTGGCTTTGTTATATGCAGATGAACTACTCATACTTCACATCCTTTACAAAGTACTGAAGAGCATGTCCAAAGTTTTACCCAAGGTACCACTCAAATCTACAAAGGGCTCACCTTTTACAAGGGGCAAACGGAGCCTGATTTCCTCAAAGTCCCAGCTAAAATCCTATCTTTTAGAGGAAGCATTTCCCAATCCTTCTTAATTCTTGGGCCTTCTGTCTCATAATGAAAGAGCCAGGCTTGGAGTCAGGAAGACTCATCTTCCTGAGCTCAAATCGACCTCAGACACTTATTAGCTGTATGACCCTGCTTGCCTCAGTTTCCTCATCTGTAAAATGAGCTGGAGAAGGAAATGACAAACCTCTCCTGTATCTCTGCCAAGAAAACCCCAAATGGGGTCACGAAGAGTCAGACACGACTGAAATGACTGAACAACGACAAATGAAAAGGGGGATTAAAATTAAAATTAAATCAAATTTAAAACAAACGCGTGCTTATGGGTCTCAAAATCCACAGAGGCTGCAACCATCCAGCTTCCATTTCTTTGGCTGTAACAACAGAAAGCACGGCTGACTAAAGCTGTTGAAATATAGTTATCACAATGTTTACAACAAAAGCAACCCGAGCTCACAGACCCAGAGAAGGGGAGCTGGAGGCAGCAATGCCGGGGAGGGGGCCGTGTGCCACAGGTTAGGTAAGAAGGACTGAGGGTCTGCACAGGGTGGGTGGTAAAGAGAGTTAAGAGAGGGAGGTTCAAATGTGGGAGATTTTGTCAAAGCACAGCTAGTGCTGAGATGTTTCCCATCTGATTAACTGGAGAAAACAGGGTGTGTTTGCCCCAAGGGACATACGTGCTGATGGGTTGGGCTGCTCCCTAGGAGATACTGAAGGTGGTGAGGAGGAAGACAGGCCTGTGGGAGGAGGGAGAAGGCAACAGGGCATAAGTGAAAGACTCCAGAGGGCATGTTTCCTCTGTGTGTGTGTGTGTGTGTGTGTGTGTGTGTGTGTGTGTGTGTGCGCACACGCACCCTCATCTTGCAGTAGGGAAATGGCATCAAAGACTGGAGGGCTACCATCAGACTTACCCGAGCCTGGACTGAGAAACTGAGGCACTGAGTGGTAGTGCTGGAAAGCCTTCTGAAGATATAGTAAAGAGTGGGGAGAGAGGAAGAGGGAGAAAGAGGGAGCAAGATAGAGGGAGAAAGAGGAAGGGAGAAAGAGAGAGGAAAGGAGAGTGAGGAGAGAGGAAAGGAGAGAGAGAGAAAAAAAGGGAGGGAGAGAGAGGGAAGGAGAGACAGAGAGAGACAGAGAGAACCTCCTGCTGCCACACTATTCATACTCATTTAAATCCAATTCACCCAAGAGTCAAGCCACCACCCCGGGATGGCTTTGGTCCTCTTTGAAAACAAAGGACAAACAGTAACACCTAGGATTCTACAAGAGGCCCTAGAGGTTTCCCCCTCATCTTTGGGATCAACACTTTCTCATTCAGAGACTCCTACGTTGTGTACTGCTTTCTTATTTTCTCCTGTCATTTTGTATGTGGATGGTGGGCTTGCCCACGTGAGGTGCTGATCTCAGGGCAGCAGGCAGTGACCACGCTGGATTTCCAGAGCCGGGGCGACGAGCAAAGAGACTGAAAATTTCCCTCAGATACAAGGCTTGTGAAAGCACCTGCAGGATCATAGGCTCCTGGATCATTTTTGAAAATGATGAAACCAAGGCCCAGGGAGATCACATGAGTCCTCAGCAGGCGTCAGAGGCAGGCTTCGAACCTGGGTCTTCTGATTTGAGAACCAGCGTGCCCCTTCCTCTGAACCACGTGGCCTTGACAAGTGATGGAATGGGAAGGATTAGGAAAAGGGAGGAGTCAGATAACTCTGAAATTTCATCCAGGAGGCAGGGCCTTGGATAAATTGAGGGGTTCAAAAGAGGTTCAAGTCTGGGGGAAGATAAGGCAGCCAGATGGACCAGCCCCGGAATCTTGCCTCACACTTACCAAAAGTGGGACTCGAGGTGAGTCACTAAACCCCTCTGTGCGTCACTTTCCTTGTCTGTAAAATGGGCAAGGGTGTTGAGCTCAATGTCCTCCTAGTGCTGCATCTATGGTGTGGTGAGTTCCAAATCTGGGTGGATTGCCTCCTCTGGGGCATGGTCTCTGGAGGTCCTGTGCCCCAGAGGGGGCAGGATGGAGGGGAAGAAGATGGCAAGGAGAGCAGCTGGATAACCACCCCATTGGATCCACTAGGGCAGACAAGACCGGTCTGGACTGCGTTCTCATACAAAGCAAAATGGACTGGATGGAAGCCAGAAGGGGAGATATTGAGTGGTGAGCATGTGCATGAGGGTGAAATGGAGACGGTAAACGAAAGATGACTCTAGGGAGGGAAGGCAAGGGAAGGGCAAGGGATGAGAGCCTGGGGGGGCGGCAAGATGGGGGCGAAGGAAGCCTTGGGCTCCGATGCAGCAGAGACCTGGGTTCCACCTCTCCTCTGCTCTACCCACCAAGTCTGGCCGTGGAACGCCCTGCTCCTCTCGAACCTCGGTGATTCTCTGTTGCCTCGAGGGTAACACGCACATTCCTCTGCTTGTCATTTCATGCCCCACACAATCTGGTTCCGATCTTCGAAGGCTGTTCATGTATTACTCTCCCCCGTGTATTTTAGATTCCATGCAAACCGGCTGGCTTGCTCCTGGCACATGGTATTCCTTATTCTAATTCTGAATCTGTGCAAAGGTGTCTCCCGTCCTGGGAATGCTCCCTCTTGTCACCTCCACGTCCTGGGCCCCTTAGCTATTTTTAAGGTTCAGCTCAGGTACCATCTTCTGCCAGTGACACCCTCTCACCACCCATTACCTGGTATTGACTTTACATACCTGGTACAGTGGATAGAGAGACGCCCTCCAAGTAAAGAAAACCCGGGTTCAAATCTCTTTTTTCTGCTGCATATTGGTCGTCTGACCCTGAGCAAGTGACTTCATCTCTGAGTGCACCAGAGCTGGGATTTGAACCCAGGTCCTCAGACCTGTTACTCCCTCATTCATTGTTCTTTCCGTGATGCCTCTCTGGAGGTAAGGCATTTTCTGTGGAGAGTTCTCCTAATAGAAACCCCTGCCTGACTTGGGCTGCAACAGTCCAAATTTACTGACCTTCCACATATTCATATGTACACATACACATAAACATAAACACATATCTATACATACATATGCATATACATATATGTGCATTTTTCAGTCATTTTTCAGTCATATCTGACCCTATTTGGGGTTTTCTTGGCAAAGATCCTGGAGTGGTTTGTCATTTCCTTCTCCAGCTCATTCTATAGATGAGGAAACTGAGGCAAACAGGGGTAAGTGACTTGCCCAGGGTCACATAGTTAGAAAGTGTCTGAGGCCAGATTTAAATTCAGGAAGATGAGCCTTCCTGAATCCAAACCCAGTACTCTATCCACTGAACTACGTAGGTACCATGTGTATTTATACACACACACACACACACACACACACACACACACAGAGACATATACACACATTCATATATTCACAGGGCCAGCTAGGTGGCTTAGTGGATAGAGCCCTGGGGCCTGGAGTCAGGAAGACCTAAGTTCAAATCCAGCCTCAGACACTTACTAGCTGTGTGACCCTGGGCAAGTCATTTACTCCTGTTTACCTCAGTTTCCTCATCTGTAAAATGAGCTGGAGAAGGAAATGGCAAATCACTCCAGTATCTTTGCCAAGAAAACCCCAAATAGGGTCACAAGTCAGATACAACTAATTGACTAAAAAGTAACAACATATATATACAAAATTTTTATTGGTGCCTTTTGTTTTTACATAACACTCATTTCTAACTATTCTGTACCCCCTTCCCCAACTCTCCCAGGGAGCCTTCCCTTGGAATAGTTTAGCTAAAGCCACAGACTCAGTTCCTCTATTTACATATTTCTGAAGAAACTATTCTGAACTGAGCCAACACCAAATAAAATGAGCATTTCCATACACAAAGTAGAATGGAAAAGGAGGATTGCATTCAAAAGGGTGAATTTTTATTATTCACATCTTGCTTTTCCTTCCAAGTGTATAATAAATTCAACTAGTATTTAGCACAGTGCCTGTCGTACAGTAGGCACTTAATAAATGCTTGTTGCCTTAACAAGGCTTTCAAAACTTTTCAAAGCTGTTTGTCTGTTTCCATTTGGCTTTCTGCTTTCTCCTGGTTTTCTTTCTTTCCCTTTTCTTCCTTTTTTGGGAAGGTGGGACAGGGACCCTTATTGCTGGCTTCTCTTCATTGCCACCTCCCTCTGTTCCAAATTGAAAACAAAGAAAAGCTCAAACCCCTGTAACAAATAGGTATAGTCAAGTCAAACAAATTTCCCCACTGGCTGTGTCTGAAAACGTATATCTCATTCTGCACCCTAAGATGATAAAGTAGTAAGGGAAGCAATACGGTCAGAGCATTGGCTCTGCAAGAAGAGGGTCTGGGTTCAAATCCCTCTGATAGGACTTGAGTATTATGCATTGTTACTGGTTGTTTCAAGCTGTGGTTGGTTATTGCATTGCTCAGAGTTTTAAAGGTGCTTTTCTTTACAATGTTGTTGTTACTGTAGAAATTATTCTCCCGGTTCTGCTCACTTACTTTACTTTGCATCAGTTCATAAAGGTCTTCCTAGATTTCTCAGAAGCCACACCTTTCATCATTTCTTATGGCACTACAGTGTTCTATCACATTCATTCGAAGTAATTTATTCAGCCATTCTCCAACTAATGGGCGCCTACTTTCCAGTTCTTTGTTGTTAACCAAAAGGGCTGCTATAAAGACATCTTTCTAGATGGGTCCTCTTCTCGTTTCTTTGATCTCTTGGGGTTATTGGCCTCATAATAGTAGCACTGGGTTGCCTTTAGCAACTTTTTGGGGAAGTTCCAAACTGCTTTCCAGAATAGTTGGATTAATTCACATCTCCATTAACAGTATACTAATATGCTTGTTTCTCCCAAAGCCCCACCCCAACAACTTTATTTCCTTTTTTGTCATTGCTAATCTAACCAGTATCAGGTGAGACCTCACAACTTCTTGAATTCACATTTCTAATTATTAGTGATTTCAGAGCACTTTTTCCATATGGTTATTAATAACTAGGATTTCTTCCCTTGAGAACTGCCTCTATATCTTTTGACCATTTATCTATCGGGGGATAACATGATTTTGATACCAAGTTCATTTTGGAATATAGTTGTCCCCCCAGCCTTCCCTTGAACCAAAGAGTTTTTTTAAATGTATTTTAGCAAAACCAGTCAACAGCACAAATAATAGTCCAAAGCCATAATCACCCACCTCTCTCCCTCCATTGGAAGGAGAGAGGTGTGTTCCCTCTTTTCGGGTCAGGATTGATCATGACAATTACAAACCACTTAGCTTCCTCATATTGTCCTTGCTGTTGACACGTCATGTTCTGTGTGTTTCCTCTTTCCCTGGTTCTGCCTCTTTTCCTCAGCATCTGTTCATAAAAGCCTTCCCATGTTTTTCTGTTGTCTTCCTATTCATTGTTTCCTTTTCTTTTTCTTTTTTTTTTTTTAGATATTTGATCCTCACAACAATCCTAGAAAATGTGTCGTTATTAATTCCCATTTTATAGTTGAGTAAACTGAGGCAGGTAGAGGTTACATGACTTGCCCAGGGTCAAGAGCTAATTAGTGTCTGAGACCAGATTTGGAATTTAGGAGTTCACAACTTCCAGTCGGGATGTGTCCACTGCTCTGCCTAGTTGCCTCCTGGTAATACTAAGACAAAGGGTAGAGGTGTCATCGTATTGAAAATTTGGATTTGCACCAAAAGTATATAAATTAGGGGTAGTGGTGATGGCTTGCTTTATAGATTAAAGCTCTGGTTCATAAAAAAGAAAGTGTTCCTTAAATATCAGGCTGTTTTAATACGTTTCAAATTCCAGTGGATTTACAAACGTTCATTTTACGTATACTTTTCTGACACTCTGCCGCAGAAATCAGAATAGTACAGAATCTTGCCCTTCCTCATGATGGCTTCGACGGTAATCAGAGAGCTTGCCGACTTTGGTCCCATCTGTAATTATGCTCCCTGGACCCTGCTGTCCCCTCCAGCAAACCGTCCCCTAGCTCCTCTCTTCACCGAGGAAGCAGCCTTCTACACTGGCTGTTTCCACTTGCTCACCCACTATTCATTTCTGAGTCCTGAAGATCTGGCCCATTTGGACACTCCTCCCTCGAAGGATCCCATTGTGCTCCTAAATGCTAACTCAGATGACTTCTCCTCACTCCTTATTCGCCCCTTCCCCTTTCTGGAAGCCTTCTCCTTCTTGGGCTTCTGGGGCTCTGGTCTCTAGCAATTCCATTTCTACCTGCCTGCTATTTACCTCTCTATTGTCTCCTCCTCTTCCCACCCATAGGGGGGATCTACACTCAGAAGGGGAAAGGCCTCCGAGGTCATCTAGTCTAACCCTCTCATTTTATAAATGAAAAACACTGAGGGTCAGGGAAGTGATTGCCCAAGGCCATACAGGCAGCTTGAGCATCATTGGTGGGATTTGAACCCATTGGCCCACACTGCCTCCCTTAGCATGGACTCTGGCCAGGGTCCTTGACTCTTTTCTCTCTTCCTGATTTCATCTCATCCCGTGTATTCATTGAATGATCAACCCTATGCAGGTGACTCCCAGGTCTATGGCACATTGCCCTCATCTTTCCTGGGCCCTTGTCCTGAATCACCCAACTGCCTATTGGGTATCTCTTGGAAGGAGGTCCAAAATTAAACTTATCATCTTTTCCCGTAAATGTCCCTATTTCCACTGGAGGCTCGACCATCCTCCTATATAGACCATCCAGGTCTATAACTTTCTTGTGCCACACCCAAGATGTCATGGAATGGTAGAAAGAATGGAGCCAGGGGACCTGGGCTCAGACTGAGCCTCTGGGGCTTCCTAGCTGTGTGACCTTGGCCAAGTTACTTCTCTAAGCCTCAGTTTCCTCATTGGTTAAATGAAGGTGATGGGGGTAGGTGGATTAGATGCCTCCACGGTCTCTTGGCTCTACATCTTAGACCCTGCAAGTCAACCTTAACCCTTCCCTCTGCCTCCACCCCCACATTCCACCTGTGGCTGAGTCTTGCTCACTTACACCTCTCGTCCCTTCTTACTCGGTCATCGTCCTTGTTGCGGTCTTCTTCACCTCTTGCCCCTTAGCTGGCCTCGCTGCCTCCACCCTCTCCTTTCTCTTCCATCCTTCAAAACAACTGCCAAAACCATCTTCCTGATGTCAAGGTCTGAGCACGGCGCTCCCCTTCTTAGACACTTTCGG